GAACGTGTGTTAAGAATCACGAGCTATGAATCGTTGAAGTGTGTTAAGTACGACTCAAGCGACTATTTAAACGATTACTGTTGACAACAGATATTAGAAAAACGTTATCTTATTCTGGTAATGTATAAAAGAAAAGATACGAAATAGAATATAATAGAAAAGAAAAGATATAATTTAAGGAACTTATAGATATCTCTGATAATTAGATAAAGTTTTTGACATACTATTCTTTTAATAATCTTCTTAAGTTTTGTTATTTCCCAAATATACACGAGTAATGTACCTTATTTAAGTATTATTATTAATAAAATATTTTCACGAAACAATCTCTAAGGGAATGTAAATCCCATATTAGAGTATCATTAAAAATGTTTATCCCAAATCATAATGCATTAACAATATGAACGGAGGATTTAAAACAAGCCGAAGCCTGAATCCGTGCACAGGATGTATCGAATTACATCGACTTACGATGTAAATGATCAGTAACAAACACAAAACAACATCTCGGAGCTAGGGGGGTGAGAATTCTTATACGACGTTATAAAGCTTCGGGGAAGTATGCCGGGTTAATAAAATAGTGGTTTTTTTGTCATATCAGTGTCAAACGAGAAACAAGTCTGTGTTGCCATAATTTCATAAAAATCTGTGTTGCCATAAATTAAGTTTAAATAATACTTTTTTTTATTTATTATTTTGTATGGCTTAAATACCTCACTATCATTATACTAGTGTGTTAATGAAGACAGGATAAAATTATTAAAATTTGTAGGTGAAAATTCGTGAAGGCTCTATATAAAACATCACGAAATTCTCTTAAATAATTTATGTTTTTTCCGTCCTCATCTTTTATGTTATAAATTATATAATATTATTCAAAAACATAGAAACATATCTTTGTTTTTTGAGCGAGTGAATAAGGGAAAATACTAAACATAAGAAATTTAACAATTAAATGATGACCAGAAATATTTCAAGCCTTGTTTTATGATTGGTTATACAAAAAAGACTTATTTATTTAGTTACGTACTACATTTTTATAACTGTTTTGAAACATCCGATGTACATGTATCTTTGTTGGAATAATCTATTTCATACAATTGCTAAAACTAGTTTCGGTTTGACAGATTATAACTATTTAATAAGGCACAGACTGCAAAAGAACAGACGAAATAGATCTTATATGTTTGTATTATATTTAAAAAGTATAAAATCGTCGTTTTATAAGTCTACATTAAAGTGACTTCACCTTGAACAGTACGCTGAGATTGTTATAGAGTCAATAATGGTTATTTACCACAAAGTTTGCATGAAATGTATGTAACAAGAACGCTGTGATCAAAGGCACCTAATTACCACCTCCCTAATCAACGCCCCTGATTGCTTGACGTATTTGCATACGGCGCCGGTGACAACTATGTACAACTATTGTCACGAGTCAACTTAAATGCTAAACATACTAATATTACGAAAACACAGCTTGTGCGAACTTCTTTTTTAATTTATTTATCAAGACAGATAATAAATCTCGTACATATTTCAAATTTCGAACACGATTTGAACTTTTAAACTAAGTTATTTCAATGCTATGAAATTCTACGTAGCATTGTTCATTAACAATTTCATTTAATCGTTTTCATTCAGTGCAATTTCGTTAAACAGCTCAGTGCTATGTTTTGACAGCTCGCCACGTTGGGGGTGTTAATGTGACATTACCTACCGGGTGGGGGCGAAGGGGGGGCGGTAATTATCCCACGTCAGCAACAGACCTAGGCTCCCTGTCCGTGACTATGACTGTATGTTAACAACCGTTGCCTTCATAAATCATATTATAAAGAAAAAAAAACCGGCAATCACAAAAAATAATCGATTATTCAATCACTATATATTAATTAATATGAAGTATAAATCAACACTATCATACATACAAGTAATGTATACAAAGCGCCGCGGTTTTTCCTATATCACGCACTACATTATTTTACATGACGTTTTATCGCGGACCGCAAGCCCGATTCACCGGCCGCTCTTATTTAGACACCTAATTAAATATTTATTAAGTGCATATCTCATTTATACATTAACCCGATTTTAATTTCATGTCCGAGCGCACAAAATTAGGAACAGTGGATAGTTGGACCGCAAAATGAAGTGGGTTGTTCTGCTTCGGAGCGGGCACGAGTGCGTTCGATTCGAATTAAAATCATTATGGGATACTTTTCATAAGCGCTAATACGTTTTCAATTATACATCAATCTAGAGTTGAGTGTTCCCGCTTCGTTAATATACGTGTCTATGGTAATTCTATAATTGTCTCTGGCCGTATTTTAAATGAATATTTTGATTTATTCCGGATTTTTCTATGATCTAACCGTAACTTTATAACGGAAATACAATTCATTGTTATTCCACATGTTTTTATATCTCAATAATTGCAATCGATAAATCAATGAATGACGCTACTACAGTCTGTATATAGAAAAACCGATTGACAGTTTAGCAATAACTAAATCAATATCGGTTTTTGCACACAAAAAATATTTTAATATTATATAATTCACTGTAATCATTAAATAATATTTTTATGTTATAAAATAAATACTTTTTTATACACATAAATCGAATAAAACAATTTATTTAGTATCAAGTCGGCTGTATGAGTCACGACTCAGTAGTGTGTCAATACATTGACGTATATTACTCACAACGGATACTGTTATTCTAAATTAATACAATTCCGCCAATATTTATACTTTTTGACGTGCATTCTTGTAAAAACGACAACATTTACTACAGTATTTTATATTTCTATTGTTAGAAAGAGTAATTTCTGTAAAACTGTTATTTCTAACACATTTTACTTATTTGTAGTTTCAAGCCTTGATTTTTTTTAAATTAATGACTCTTATGCCATAATTAAAATGTTTATATTGGAACTAAAACCCTTAATAGTTTTTAATATGTGAACTAACACCTTCAATTCAAATAGAATTGCTATTTACATTAACTAGAATTCATTTAAACTCGGGAAAAACCATAACCTTTCATTTGCGTCATGGAGGGAAAAGAGTAGTTTATTGAAATTAACAAATTAACCCAATAAACAGTATGGTATGCTGATTTATATAATGATTATATTTGTGCTATACATACAATGTCTTTATAAAAAACTATGGAATAAAACCTCTTTCGATTCCTATGAAGCTTCGGCATTTACGTCACGAATATACGTCATTCTTTGATTTTTACGTTTACATATAAAACCGTATAATCGTCACATATTTTTTTATTATATTTTTTTTAGTTTACTAAGACCTTCTTTTGTTTATGCTACCGTCGCTTACATAATTTCAATAAATCAATATTTTTTCATGCTTTTATTAATTATTCTTATTGGAATTTTTAAAACACGGTTCTGACAACACCATATATATAAACTAACTGTTATTGTACGAAAAATCGTTCCTAACCTCTTAATTGAGTTGTATTCAGACGCAAAACTCCTTACAATCATACTATTTATCCTACATTTAATTCCTTATTAATTAAAAAAAACTACATACTAACAATCTTTAAAGTCGCCAGTTTAGTGTTATTCTGCCTACGTGTCACAGCTCGCGTGTCCATCAAATATACATACAAAGCTCCAGAACAGATAGGAATTAGCATAATAATTTGTTTTATCGTCAGTGACTAAGAGTCAAAACAATAATAAAACCAATTCACGTCTCACTATGAGTAGTGTTCAGATATGGCATTGAAAACTTTTTCATTAATCATTATTAATAAAAGTTAAAAGAAAATATTAAAATACGGATAATTTTTTTTTATATACTTTTTAAAATATTATATTTTATTTACTTTTTAAAACATTATATATTTATACCGATAAAAATTTCTAACCTGAATATAACCAAACAATTGTCTCAAAACTTCACAACTTCTCAGACTCAAAAATTCAGGTAGAAAAAAAAATCAACAAAATAAAAAGATTTAAAAAAACAACACAACCAAAAACGCAACAAGTAAAAAATTAAATTTAAATTCTAACCTATATAAATCGGTCGTAAAGTTGTCAATGTCATCCCATTGTTAATATTTTGGCAGTGACACCACTTTCGTTGACATATTGTGACCTTATACGTATGAATCAGTATTACTCGACGTAAATTCCGCGTTTGACCTCCATAATTAGCATGTGTCAAAGGCAATGGTTCGATTTGGTAATGTATCAACAAGTCTTAAAAAACATCTCTTAGTTACTTATAACTTAAGAAATATCTGTAAAACGGATATTAATATGGATTTCCCATTATTTGTTTATAGTTTCAGGGTTTTCGTGATTTATTTAAGTCTCTTTCTTTGGTATATTGACATTAAATAAAAACGGGAATTCCAATATACCTTACATTATATTTAAATATTATTTTGATATGTTTTCGATGTGTAGTTTGCTTTCGTGAGTCATTCTTATCTTACATAATTTTTATTTCTATTCCTATTAAAACTTTTACTAATGGAATTTCGTATTGACCTCCATACTGGGCCGTATATAAATGAATCATATCCATTTTATTTAAACAAAAAAATGAAACTATATGTTATGCATTGATTATATCTATAGTATAATTATACCGCGGCGTTACTCGCATATTTCAAATTTACTATCGGCTGGCTGTATTAGATATTATGAGATAAATATATATATGATTGTAGATTATTGAAATTGTATCTCGCATTTTTTATGTACTTTAGTAATAAACATATCAATCTTGAAATATAATATCACATATCGTTCGTATTTATTATCTAATAAATAAAAATAACAAAAATAATTGTATCTACAATAATGTTAATAGAAATATTCTGAAGTTTTATTTTTTAAAGTGAAACACATACTTTAAAAACGACAATAGTGTAATTAGACACAAGCAAACACATCTATTTTTAAGGCAGAGTTCCGCCGCAATATACTTACTTATTTAATTATTTTTTTTCAGAAAACACTGGCAGTATCCTAGGAGCTAGCGAGTGGAACACCGGATATCCGTCAACAGCCACCGTATATCCCAGCTACCCTCCCCTCCAGCCGCCTTACTACAAACCCGACCCTACCTTACACATACCCGGCGGTGAGCTACAATAAAATAAATACAATAAAAACTCCTTATTATAAACTTTATGCTCATTCATGTAAATCATTTGACGTTTCAGTTCTCCCCGAAATCCCTATCGGGACAGCCGACTACGGTTGCTATCAGACCAGTTCTAGCGGCTACGATAAAGGAAGTCCTAGCGGAACGAACAGCAGCCTCACAGATCTCAATTCACCATCAATGTCCACCCAAAGATACGAACCAAACTATTACAACTCATGGCCGAGCAACAGCTACAATTACCAATACAACAACATCAACAATAATCCCGCCTGCCTACAATCACACACACCATATATTAACCCAAACCCGCAAATGATCCTACCAAATCTTTACTCAACGGTCAACCAGAACCAAATACACGTGCACCTACACAGCTCATCCGACAAATACAATCTCGAACAATACAAAATAAGCGACATCAATGGCGGGATTTCTATAACAACCGAATTACAAGGCGCGGGGGAAGCGAGCGGTCTAGTGCAAACATGCGAAATAACCGATGACGTGAAACACGGGCTGTATAGCGCGAGCCAAGAAGTTTGGCGGCCATATTGACATACCGCTAAACCCCGCTACACACGCATTGTACATATTGTGATATAGCTAACATATAGATAATTGTATATATATAGAAATCAATTAATGTTAAACATTAATAAGATTTTAAATGTTAATAAATGTTTTAATTATAATAAATTAAAATTTCACAAGTTACAATGTGTTTGCTTTTGACAATACATAATTTAATATATACGTGAAATAATTTTGATATTATGTCAACATAATATACAACTATGTATTTATTTTTTGTTTGAAATTTGACAAGTAACTCCATCATAACATATTTTTTAAGTAATTTTAATAATTTGATTTCGATAGTTAAATAAGATATCTTAATTTTTTAAACAAAAACAAATAAAATCCTTGCTGGTTTCAAAAGAACAGTATAATATGAAACCGTTTGTTTACACAATTTAGTAATTAATTTATATTTATAAAAGAAATAATTATTTTAGAAAAATGGTTCTTACATAAAATTAAATTATCTTTTTAACATAAAAATATGAAAATAATACTCGGTCACCATGAGTTTACAGACATATAATTATATCTACGATTTTCGCAACTTGCAATTTGAAAAAAAAACGATTTTCAATTTTTAGTTATACTAGCATTTATCATTAAATAGCCTTTGATTTGCCCGTGAAAACGGTTAATGTAAACTAACCGAAAATAGATTAAAAAGTGAAATAAGATAATAGATTCGCGCAATATATAGTATAGTAATCAGTTTTTTAATGAAAAGTGAATATTAAAACACTCAAGAATACTTCCATTTGTTACAAATAGCCAACAAAACCTAAAACCATTTTTAAGGCCCTACGTAATTAAATTAAATACAACTTTCTTGTTGTTAGGGCATTTTTTTAAAATAACTATTTATAAGGACATAAAGATAGAATTATTTTGAATTTTGCTTCAATATCGATCAGAACTTTACATGAAAGAAAAAAATATTTGTCTTCAAATAAATAAATTTTCAACCACTGCAGCTTAAAAAAAATTATATGTCATAATATAATAACCAATTATAAATTTTTAAACTTAGGTATTATAATATTTAACTAATGATTATTATCAATGTAAATATGTTTAATAGAAATGTAGCGACATCTAGTTTGTAATCATGACAACACAAATAGCCTTCGCAATATTCTTACGATCAACATTACGTCATCATAAACTTTTCTTAGGTACTTGTAGAAAAACCCTAAACGCAGTTATTCACACTAGTTAATTATAAGCAAACATTATCACGGACATGTTATTTATAAGTATTAAAGATTTAATATAAACTAATTATTACAAAATACTAAACATCGAAGTTCGAGCAATGATTACATACAAAATTATATCGATATCGTTCGTAAAACTAGTTTTTTACAAAATAAATGTCAATATACAACCTAATATTGCTTTGGTTTCTAAAAGTCAAATGTGATCTAAATCATTGGTAGTACACAATATTAATTCTATTAATATTGCTTATGATTGAAGATTATTTGATCCAAAATTTTTGAATGAAAATTAATGAATGACGAAAATATGGTGGTAGGCTGGGGGTTTCTAGTCAGAATTGCAAAAAATATAAAGAGTGAGTAAAATTCTCCATAACTTTAAAATTGTTTTGACAAAAAGCAGGCAAAACGTATAGTTTGTTTTTTATAAATTCTGATTTAAATGAAACAAATATTGAACATATGATTAATTTATTTAAAGATCAATTAAACTTAAAACTAATGTTTTCGATGTAGGAATGAGTTACTCTTTTTTTAATATTATAATAAGCAATAAATACAAATTTATTGAGTGGCAAAAATGAAATATTGATTAATATACCCGAAGAATATTTCCTATAGCAACCTTAAAATTTTTATCATACATTGCATGATTTTTAGTGGCAACACTAGTAGAATCTGAGTTCTAAGTACGTGATAAGATGGCGTCTTTTATATTTAAATGGTTTGAATAGTGAAAATATAAAATAAAAGTGATAGTTGTAGCTTATTTGGGATATCTCAATAGCATAGATTTATATTATATTTTATAAAGTAATCTATATAACGTGTAAGTATGACGCATTTGTATATATATATTCTTCTAGCTGTGTCATTGTTGCAGGTTGATAACGGCGGCTGACAAAACAATAATCATTTCTAGATTTAACTGTGCTTATTTGGTTGCAGTTGAAAGGGGTTCTTATCATATTAGTGGGAAGGCAATGTCCGAAGAGTCGGAGCGTCACGGTGAGTCGGCGAGTGAAGGCGTCTGTAGCAGCGTCACAAACGTGGCGCGTGTGTTGTTGACCTCGCACCAGATCGACACCGCTACAGCGGAGTCCCTTCGCGCCTCGTGGAGAGACCAGGACTTGTACATTGACCACCTCGAAACGTTGAACAAACAGCTGGAAGGTATTTAACACCGTTACATCGGCTTGGTAGTGGTCTACGTCCGACCAGCGTGACGATTACGTGCAAACAATCTTTAGTCACTCTAATCGACAATGCTTTAACTAAAAATTTACTAGTGATACTGTTATTGAATATATTGAATATGTGATGTTGCAAATGTTAGTTATATATTGTGGTACGGGGTGTATCTAGGTGCTAATGTTAAGAAGAAAATGAGGTGTAAGAGCTGTGCAAGTGGATTGATCTGTGATCTGTGGAAGTGCATACATCATGTGGGGTTCAGCCAATACAGTGAGTCTCCAAGTTGAATTGGAGTTGTGTCCTTGTTCAGTGCCCAAAAATATGTTATCTGGTGAAGGTGATTCAAGGTCTGCAAGTGGTCCACTTGAAAAAGTAAATATATCAATATTTTTCTATATATTCTAAGTTAAACATTATTTTGTTGCAAATTTAATATTGTAAGTAATGTTAATTTCCCTGTGAGCTTTGTTTAAATAATTCTCTCGCTGTATAATTGTAATAGTATTTAAGATATTGTTTGAACTGTATATCTTTAACTTGGTGGGAAGCGCACCCCATATACCGACACTGACTGTCATTACTGGGTAAAAAATACCACAATAATATTAATGTAAGAACTAGAGTTATTTTATGGATAATTAAATATTACCAATTTTCATATTATATTGTGTCACATTTTCAATTAAACAAGACAGAGTTGGAAACGAATAAACGCTTGGTATAATGTGTAAAATTTGAAATTTTACAACATAGCCCAAAAGCTCAGCCATTTTGTGCACAAAACGAAATATTTGCGAGTGTGGCTGGAGGGCTCTTACCTGTTGTTTATTCGGAATATTATTATTTTGCTCGCCATTACCACCATGTAAAAGTATTATTTTACTTTTCATAAATGTATTTAGGCAGATTTAAGATGGTAGATTTACACTTAATTTGTGGCAATACAAGAGACAGCCAATACCTTCAAGTAATCTCTTCTAGGTCTCTTTCGTAACGATTGTCTTTATTAGTCGAAGCGTCGAACATTTGTCGAAAGGTATCTAAAACGGCGCTGCACAAAATTACTTACAAAAACAAATATTTTCGAAGTATGCACTACGTGGTAAATTTAACCCGGTAGCGCCTCCCGCCGAGTTAAAAACTTAATTGTAATACAATCACTTTCAAAACTTGATTAGGGACTTAAATATCAAGAAAATCATTAAAAATTGTTCCAAAATGTATATTTTATATTATATATAAACAAATTGTTCTAATCATAAAATAACCTCTTGTTAGTTTAAACAATATTTTGTACATTTTGATTATTAATATACATTAAATGTTATGACAAAAGTTTTAATACTTACAAATATTTTGCTTAAATGTAACATTAATTATATGACTTAAATAATATATACAGTGACAATAATGAATTATTATTACAATTTAATATATTTATATGGCGAATTCATGAATAGTATGTTGTGTATATTTTTAAAAGGCATTCAATTTATTTTTGTCATGTGATATAGGTATACATATATTTTAATAGCATTTACAGAAATAGCCAAATACCTTTCAAAATGTTCAGTTTGTTAATAGATTAATGTTTTATGTTGATAAAAATTCTTAAATGATCTAATTCTATGTAGCTTCTCTTGCTGAAACACGGGTCATGTTTGTAGCTTCCTGGTTTATAATAACACATTTTTTTAATTCTTTAAATTAAATATATAATAATTACCTATGGATAACCATATGTAAATAAGTTTACAACCAACTTTATCTTATCTTTATTATGTTTTATTTAATTGTAATATATAAAAATTCTGCCGTTATGTACTTTAGCTCTGACTTTGAGATTTTTTTAAACTCCTCAATATATTCATTGTTTATTTTGCTCAATTTTACAACACAAGCATTCCTTTTTATATAATTAATAGATTTATTAACTTTTCCTTTTATGATAATAAGTAAAGCTTTAAAATATGTTCCAATTAAACTTATAGAAAATGGTTTAATTATTTTTCTTAAAACAATAAACAAGTCCATTTAAGAAATCAATTAAAACAGATGTTATTTAAAGTACCTTTTTTAATTAATTTAAATATATTCTTAATAATACATATTATTATAATGTAATGTTAAAATTGTCATCTTATTTGTTTTCTATTGTATGTGTTCACAATTTAATTTCTCAATATTTAATATAACTTACTATGTTCAATAAAGGAGAAGTATAACCAAAACCAGTTAATAGAGGTAAAATGACAGTCAAGCATTATTCAGTAGAAATAAAAAACAGTGTAATATAATATATTTCAAATTATCAACATTTTTAATACATTCTAAATAATATTTGCAATTAAATTAAAATCCAATATATCAATTAATCAAAATTACTTGTTGATATAGATATTTATAGTAATTAATATTATCCAACAAATATGCTATGATCAATTTTGAAACCACAGAAGTCAAAGAAACAAAAAAATACAATAAGATTTTTTTATTGAAGTATGGCAATAGTAATATTTAACTTGGAATAATGTTTAACTCTTTATATTTTACTATGGGAAATAATGAGACTGAAACATAGTAAAAAGTAAACTTTCAATGTGACATTAAAACTATATAATAATGAGATTTTGATAGAAAATCTTATCTTATTGAAGTTTTCTAAGTACACCAAAATCCTATATTTGAACTAGGTAATTAAAAAAGGATATAGATGTATTTTGGTTTGTATGTAAAAACTAAATATCAAGGATGTGTTAACTTAGTTAAGGTATTGTCGATTGATATTGTATATTAGAAATAAGTAATCTCTCATCACAAAAATGTATGTTTTTATAAAAGAATGTTACAGCTAAGTTTTGCATAAACAATTTTTTTTATTAATTAGTTGTGATTATTTTCTTCAGGAAGCTTGGAAAAGGCGAAAGAGGTAGAGGAAAGGATAAAACAACAGTACACTGAGTCACAACACAGAGAGAAAATACTTGTTAGGAGGCTAGCAGCTAAAGAACAAGAGATACAAGATTATGTAGTAAGTTAAATTTATATAGTTCACTAGCTTTCCGCCCGCGTGAAGTTCGGTTATATCGCGTTTCCAAGAGAACCTTTCAAAAGTCTGGGATAAAAACTATCCTATGTTCTTTCTCAGGGTCAACTCTATCTCTGTACCAAATTTCATTATAATCAGTTCAGTGGTTTAGGCGTGAAAGCGTAACAGACAGAGTTACTTTCCCATTTATAATATTAGTAGGATTTCAATAGAAATTGGGAATCTTGTAAACAAACCTGATCAGCGGATATTGACAGACTTTTCTATGGATGGGATGTGAGCACTCTTAAAGATACTTTCATCTTAATTATGAGATTAAAGTATTAATATAAGAAAATGCTTCAATTTGTTAATATTTCGTTAAGTAGTTATTAGTGAGCACTTTTTAATGATTTTAGAAATGCAGATTGCAAATGAGAACACAGAAGAGTGGTTTGCATCCCAATAGCACTAAACATCCCAAAGGCCATGCCATTGAGGTTAATAAATATTACGAGATCATTAATGATTAAAAAAAATGTTTTATTGGACTTTTTAGAGCTACCTTTGCTTAGTTCTGTCTGCTAAGTACCAAAAAACAATACAATTTTGATTGATTGACTGATTTTCATCACAGCCTGTTGAATACACTATAGTGTTTAGTATAATCAAATCTATTTAATACTTGTGAGTTGATCAAAGTTCAAATAACAATGATTATAAATATATTTATTTAAAAATGCAAGTCGTGTCAGTTACACCATTTATAGTTCAAGGACGGCTTTACTGCCCTTAAGGAGAAACATAGTTCCACCCAGCAATACCTTTCTAAGTTTGAATGTAAAGTAATATTATTTAATTCATATATTTAAATTTCAGAGTCAAATAACCGAATTGAAATCATCACACGCGAGTCTTAACGGACGGCCATCTCTACTAGATCCAGCTGTTAATATGGTAATATTGAGGTTGAAACAGGAATTAACATCTACAAAGGCGAGGCTAGAGGAGACACAGAACGAACTATCAGCATGGAAGTTCACGCCTGACTCGAATACAGGGAAGAAATTAATGGCCAAATGTAGATTATTACACCAAGAGAATGAAGACTTAGGACGGATGACATCTAGCGGCAGGATAGCGAAACTAGAGGGCGATCTGGCGTTACAGAAGAGTTTCAGTGAGGAGGTCAAGAAATCACAATCAGGTCGGTTCAATATATAGATAACTTGTTAGGTCAGTTCAACATTTAGATAATTGTGAGCTTTAATATGTTTCATCATTATAAGGGCTATTAGATAACATGTAGTATGGGGAGAGTTTTATACAACTTTTTTCCCATAATTACTTGTATTGATATATGTAGTTATTTTTAAGACAATGGTTCAAGAATTATATCCTCAACTGATATATTTACAAAACTATCAAAAAACTTTAACCAATGACCATCTTATATTGGATACTAAGCTAGAATTCAACTTATTATGTCAATGTGTATCTGAAATATAATTCAACTCACCATTGATTTTATTTTCTATGATAATTCTCAACTCTGTTACTAAACGAAATATTTGTTCCAATATATTAATGACTAGCTTTGCATTCCTACTTTGCATGAGAGTATATAAGATTTTAATTATATTTTTACCTTCTATATATATTTTTTTCTGTTGTTTTATCTTGATATTTTTTTAATGCAGTAACACAATCTCTTATAGCAATACTTAAAGCCTATGTTATTCAGGTTAAACATAGCTTTCCAGTGGTGAAAGAATTTTTGTAATGTGTACAATAGTTTTTCAGTTTCGTTAGAAAACATACATATACAACAATATACATTTTTTGCTCATAAAGTATTAGTATATATAACATGTATGTAAAATATTCTTTTGCAGAGTTGGATGAATTCCTTCAGGAATTGGATGAAGACGTAGAAGGCATGCAGAGTACTGTGTTATTCCTTCAACAAGAACTCCGAGCGACGCATTCCACAGTCAATGGGAACAGACCCTCGCCAGAGAAACGCATATATTCTGGTAGCGAGTGCAGCGACACGCCTATCAGCAAGCGAAGACGGGCGTCAGTACTATCACTCGACTACAACGAAGAGGAAGAACCATTAACTGTGACAAACGGACAAACAGACTAGCGACCAGTGTTAAATGAACTAGTGATCCCTAGCCGACTGTACTCTGTAGAGTTTCTATATAAGTGGCCAATCTATGATGGGATCCGACATAACTCGGAATGCTCCAGTGTATTCTGTAAATGTACTTTAGAAGGATATGTTATTATATGTGTCATTTGACGATAAATTTGTTGGTGATTGTGTCACATGTGGGAGATGTAATAAAACATAATGAAACTATAGTTTTTGCGTTTTAAGCACACGAGTGGACCACGTGATCAGATTTAATAGTGAATCGTTTTGACATTGTTTTATACATGGGGGAATAAACGAGACAAACACTCTGTTGACAATTTTATAATTTATTTATGTAAAGTGCATTACTTGAATGTGATATATTATTATTAGAAAAATCCGATGATACATAATATATTAGCAATAATGAATGTTATGTTGCTGAATTCAATTGTTTTATGGAATTTGTTTTAATATTATTATTATTTTTTTTTGTTCATATAATAATGTCAACACCAAGCCTAATATTTTTATTCAGTGCCGCGTTTTTATTACATTTGTGATTTTCTACATGAAATGTTTCTATTTTTAAATTACAAATAATGTATATAAATAGAGTTATGTTAATTAAACATTACTGGCATAAAGTTTGCTTTTATTTCGTATATTTTGTATATGATAGGTTTTGGTCGTTTTATGAATATTGGCCGCGTGCATTTAATTTCAACTCATCTTTACTGACTTATCACTTCTTAAAAAGATAATCTATAAAATATTTTATATATGTTATACTTAATATACAGCTGGGGCATTTCACGTGAAGCGGACAGGAAAAAAAAAGTGAGGTTCGGAAAATCGATCATATTGGGACCATTTATACTTCTAGTAGGTATGAATGTAAACACAGAATATTTTTTTTGTATAATGTATATTTCACAAGTTATGGGTATCTAAAGAATTGTCGTAATTGAAATATTGATTTTTATGAAGGTATTTTTTCGAATTAAATAAATTTACAATAAAGTTTATATCATAGCGATACTTATCGGAAAAGACTGTTCTTTTTAACAATAAAATAAAATAAAAAAATAGGTTTCGTTTTCATGTCCAAAACCGGAAGTAAACTTTTCAAACTTGAATTTCATTCACTTCGACCATTTTTATTTTTTTTATTCAAAATATAGCTTAACATATATCAAAAACACCCTAAAAATTTAAAATGGGATTTCTATTAGTTTAGGAGTTACATTGATAAATGTGCACACGCGTCGCAATGGGCGGGATGTCTGACGCTAGTTTAGATCGGCTGGTGTGCGTTTAAGCATCATGTCTTGGTTAACTGGTGTGGTATAATAATTATAACATCATAAAACATTATTGTAACAATGCAAGAACTAGTTTATTTAGTAATTTTTACTACTTTAAAATCTTTGCTAGAACTGGTCCTCTTCACAAGAATGCCATGGTTGTTGGAATAAAGCTGTGAAACTTTTTGGTTCCTGAAATGGTGACTGTAGATTCAAACCGAGGTTGCAAAAAATTTCTCTGGCATTTTATGTTGTCTTTACTTCTGTTCTAAAGCAGAAGTAAATGGCTCTTTGTTTTGAAGATGATTTTGCCCAAACGTATAATCGTATTGGTGTTACGATTGCTTTACTCGAAGATTACTGTAGGCTCGCACGCGAAGCTAAACATTTGAGATTCCCTCCTAGACCATCGCATGGCCCTTTTCCGTGAGATGTTACATAAAAATGCAATTCTGCATCTGCATTAAAAACTTGTTTGTAATGAAACAGATTCACAAAGTTGAATCTGTTTTTGGGAATGTTGGGAAGCCCCGTCAGTTATGTATATTATTTTAGACACAACTATTGATTTTTCCAAAAGAGGCTTGTGTAGTGTCTTTTGGAAAGTTTAGAAGATGACTGTATAATGTATAAAATCGTCAGAGATCATAACAATGCTGCCGTGCTTTAATTCACTACTGTCTCTATAGTAAAAACCCAACGTTAGAAGTGTTGTTTGTTCGGTATTCCATTGAAAAAATTGAGCAGCATCTCGGACAACAAAACTATAATTTTTTGAAAAATCACATTCTACGACAATTTGACCTTCATCGACAGTCTCCTTAAGAGTTTTAAATAAAGCGCCTGTTCCTCTGCAATGTAAGAATGAGGTTTCAAAAGGTCCAAAGCGTAGCATAACTCATCTACAAAATTAAAAATTACTAAATAAACTAGTTCTTGCATTGTTACAATAATGTTTTATGATGTTATAATTATTATACCACACCAGTTAACCAAGACATGATGCTTAAACGCACACCAGCCGATCTAAACTAGCGTCAGACATCCCGCCCATTGCGACGCGTGTGCACATTTATCAATGTAACTCCTAAACTAATAGAAATCCCATTTTAAATTTTTTAGGGTGTTTTTGATATATGTTAAGCTATATTTTGAATAAAAAAAATAAAAAATAAAAATGGTCGAAGTGAATGAAATTCAAGTTTGAAAAGTTTACTTCCGGTTTTGGACATGAAAACGAAACCTATTTTTTTATTTTATTTTATTGTTAAAAAGAACAGTCTTTTCCGATAAGTATCGCTATGATATAAACTTTATTGTAAATTGATTTAATTCGAAAAAATACCTTCATAAAAATCAATATTTCAATTACGACAATTCTTTAGATACCCATAACTTGTGAAATATACATTATACAAAAAAAATATTCTGTGTTTACATTCATACCTACTAGAAGTATAAATGGTCCCAATATGATCGATTTTCCGAACCTCACTTTTTTTTTCCTGTCCGCTTCACGTGAAATGCCCCAGCTTGTATTTAATGTCATCGCAGAAATATACTTGGGAAAGAAATTTTAAAGTTAATAAAAAATGTGATACACGCCTCGCACTTTATTAAAACGTATTCAAAATAAATACAAAGTAGTTTTTAATTTCAGCTAAAAGTCATAATATTTTTTTTATTATAGGCTAATTAGTTTTGACGGCTTAAATGAAACCAGTCTATAGAGTAAAAATGAATTCTTTCATAAAAGTATTAAATAAAAAACCTATGATGTCCTTAATAGCACTACCCTAAGATTACTTTGAAAAGTTATATTTTATTATACCAAATGTTTTTTTCGTTACAAAAGCATAAACTAATTTTTACACTGCGGTTTCTCTTTCAATTGGTCTCTTGATATTACCTTAACTGATTTTGGTACCGTTACTGGAAAGGATGGGTGGGTTGAATTTGAAACCCAAGGGCCCGAGGAGTGCGATTTTCCTGAGGGTATCCCTAAGAGGCTGGATTTAAGCTTAGAAAGTTGTTGAAAAGAGCGTGACATCAGAACGGTATTCGGTAACAGATATTTCAACGGTAGAACTCCCGAAAACTTTAAAAAAACTCGTCTTTACCGGCGAAGGCAATTCAAGGTCTGCAATGCATCTATAACACATCTCTTGTTGCAGATGTCCATGGGCGACGGTAACCACTTACCATGGGATAGGCCTTATGCTCGTTTGACCTTTTAGGACATATAAAAGGACTGTGTTATTTTGATGTGTTTAGTCTGTCACTATTTTGTTGTCAGCGTCTAAAAGCGGATATTGTGCTCTCGATAAATCACCTTGGGTTTGTCTTGAAGTTGGTTCTCGTCGGTAATTTGAAATTCCTATCTAGAACGGACTTTATAACTGAAGCTTTTCACATAGATATTCAATTGTTTGGGTCCTCAGAATATTATTTCTTATGACCAAAAAGATAAAGTAGGTACACTTCCCTTCACATAGGGAGTTAATCCAGTTTCATATGAATTGTCCGCTAATAGCCACCGCATGTAAAGCAGAAGGTGTTTAAGGAAATGATGAAGCTTATTTTAAGCCTTGTGACAGTGACGTACCGCATATTATACAAAGTTAAAAGGCATTCCAGTCTCACGTTTTGTGAATTAACGTCTTTGAAATAGAGTATCCAAGTTCTTCAAGTGGAATGTCATCGACTTTACAAAATATTAGAGCCCTTTTCTGTATTACGATGTTAATAACATAATTTTCAGTGACTTCCTTACACTTTTTGATCAGACACATGACCTTTTACTTTATATTTAATTTAATTATTTAATAGAAAGACAATGTTTTGCGTATAAGGGAAAGTTACACATCTTAAAGTCGATGAATTACCTTACATTACCTTGATATAAAACTAATATTTCTTTTTGGATTTACTATGTACCTATATATAATTATATTAACAAAATACTGCATGTCCTTCAATTGATCTTCTTATTTATCATCTACCGAAAATTATTTCCTAATTATAGTTGAAGAATAATAATGTGTCAGTTTTTTGTCCGGTATATTAAAAAAAATGCACTCTGGTCTCTCGTTCAATACAAGTTGCATCGTCAAATAAGTCTTCGTACACGACGGTATCAACGTAGGTCAATCAATAAAAACTTGCAACGCTCCCTATAGAGAATGTGGACGTATTTATGGTGAAGTCAGATATTTTTACGATGAGTGAAAAAAACTGAAGACTATTAGCTTGTACTATTCATTGCACATGCATCATAGCGGCTTTGACCAATGAACGATGATGGATAATTTTATTTAAAAAAATTCATTCAAAGACTGTCAGGTCAATAAAAAGTACAATAGAATGTTCCTTCCACAAATAATTCCTTATACTATCGAGTTTTCTTAGAACTATCCGTTCTTCTCTGTTGTCCTCATGATTTTTTCTGTCTGCATGTACTGAATTTTCATCCTTTGACCTTTCCTATGATTAAGGTTTCATAAATACTAAAAAAATTAAATTGAAGTATGTTTTAGGATTTCAAATTACCAGCTATCACTAACGTTTAGTATACCTATGTAAACATAAGAAAATGCATTATATTAAATGATTGCATGTCTGTCTGTGTGTTTGTTCGGACAAATCTTTGAATCTGGTGGACCAGTTTTAAATGTAAAGGAATTCCTTTACATTTAAAACTAACTTGTAAAGAACAATTTGTTCTAGAATGTTCTTTTTCATTAGATAGGTACTTTTTAGGCCATTATAAAACAAATTACTTAGTTTGCTGTTATTAATTAATTTGTTGATAAGGCAGCCGTTGATTCGAAGCAAGGGTTGGAAAAGATAATATGTTATAAGCACGAAATCTTGGAATGATTCACCAGCGATATTCATGCTCAGACCAGAAAGTTACACATCCAACAACAAAATCGATCATTTATAACATTTTAGTCGCTTTATTTACCAATTAAATAAAATTCCATTTTCAATGCCTCTATTTACACATTACTACTTACTTGGTAATTATTGCATATTTATTATAACGTGGCACTCTTTATTTAAAATATCTTTATATAATTTTAAATACTAAGTATTCTACCGTTAGGATTTCTGTAAAAAGCGGATATTCCTAAATGGGAATAACTTATATTTGATTCTTTATTTTATACACGAGAATACGATTAAACGCCGGGAGATATTACACAGTAATTGAGCAAACACTTAAAAATTTTATTGCATTTGTGTTTTTGGATACTTTATATACTTTTTTCCTTTTATAAGATTAAACTGGTGGATACTCAAGTATTTTATACTTAGCGCGTGCATACCAACCCTTTAATGATACTCTTAGAATATATTATAACGGATCGACTTTAATACCGGTTGGAGAATGAGAAAACGGCTGATGACCCTGATGGCAAAACAAACAAATATGGCGCTTAAAATAAAACACATTAATAGCCCAAATAGCTTTATTAAGGCACAACATTAAATTCACATATTTTATTTAATACTACTTACACTTAAATTAAATATCACTTCGTATAATTTGACTAGATATTTCATTCCGTACAGGCACTTATTGTTGTTGAAAATAATTTAAGAAAAAAATATTTAATAAACAATTACAGTTCGTTGAACTATAAAATTATCGATATTTTAATCTTAAAAACACGATAAAGTAAGTGAACTAAATTTATTTTTTACTTTTAAAATATCTCGAGTATGTAATGACTTAATAGTTTTTAAACGCATTTTTTCCCTGTCACGTGATAATAACAATTTGACTTAAATTACAAAAGTTCACAAACCTTTAGGAATTCCTTATATGAACATATTTTATTGTTAAAAGTTCGACGAACTTCCGACAAACGATAATTTGAATTTTTATAAATTTATGGTTCATTGCTCATATAAACTAAATGGATATACATTATCGAAAAAGTTATTACGGACAGAAACAAAAACGTTATTACCTTGCAAACATAATTAATAAAATTAATTTAAATACAAAACAGACATAACATTCTCAATATTTTACTATAAAGATTGTCAATGTTTTATACAAATGAATTGTAAGACATTTGACTTAGTACCGCTTATTTACAGTTGCGCTATGTGAACAGAATACCTTCTACAACGAATAATAAATAACCGACTTTCAAAACGTGTTGTCACTCAAAGTAGTAAAATAAAATACAGTTAAAATTAGGTAATTCCTTAAAAACAGATCCTAATTAATTTTTAAAGTATTTAAACTTATGATATTAGGCCGGGGCACATAGGTTTAATATTTGTCAATTTAAAAATAAGTAAAAGTCGAGCATTCAAGAATTGTTATCATCAGTCAACTCCCAAAAACAACAAAAAAAACGTGCACTTAGAACAATACAAGAAAACTTGGTACATTGGTTCATTCTTAAAACAGTCGCGGGCTGAGATACACGAAAAATATCACGTAATTACCATTATCATTTAAAAAAGTCGATTAATAAACTTGGTTTTGTAAAGAGAGGAGCTTGAACGGTGGAGGTGAGCGTTTAACGCGTTAGATAAGGGGCCCCTTAAACCTACACCTGGGTCGCAAGTCCCAGGCACTGTTGAAGCTCCTCTCTGCAACGATGGACCCGGCACCCGCACGGTGAGTCTATGGAATTCTGAGAAGTTTCGTCTCTGATAAACGTAAATCTTCAAAATTCTAGGAACGTATATGTTTTGTGCTATTATTATCGCCACCGGCGTTAACGTCATTATGGCCACTGCTGAATCTAAGTAATTTGTCTTCGGCCGTCCTAACTCGATCCTGGAGTATCTCCACTGTTCGGTTCAAGAGTTTTATTTCTTCTTGCAGCGGATACAGTTGCATGTTCATCTGCATCAACTCCTTCTCATGGGCCAATTGTAGTGTGTGAAGCTATATAGGAATTAAGTTATATTGTAGCCAAAACTTCAATTTTTGCTTACATAGTCCTAATTTTTTTATATATAAAAAGTAGGCTGTTCTTTGAGGTTTTGACTTGATACATGCAGGCAATCTTTTTGACAGTTTTCTGTAAAAAATGTCCTATCGAAGTTTTCAACACTAGTTATATCTTTATATAAAAAATGTAAATATACTTATAATATATTCAAGTAAAGGCCAAGACACAGTTTCTAGAGGAATACAAGAGATCATTAAAACTTTACAATCATCTATGAAGACTTTCTCTAGCATAAATCTGAAAATTAACTGACCCTGCTAATAAGATGTACCGCAAAGTAATAAATAAAACCAAACTAATAAATATTACAAAAGCTTCGTTCACTCATTTAAATATATTAAGCTCTGAAATTTTTTCCCCAATTTATTCCAAAATATGTAAATGTTTATAAAATTATAAAAATATTCAATTAAAATGCATTTTATATGCATATGCATATTTAGCTGGAATGTGTTAAAAACAATAGATTGAATTTAATTTCAGTGGACCAGGGACTAGATGGATGCTGAAAATTTGCAATCAATTCAACGAATGACAGTTAAGGGTCAATGGTCAAAAAAAAAAAAAACCTAAAAAATGGTCAATCTACCGAACTAAAACATTTTTTTCTCTATTATTACTAAATAAAAACAATCTCCTAAGCAACAACACACCAGTAATGACTCTCATAAGTATTCATGGATGCATCTTATTTTCGGATGGACAATTTATTCTCAAACATTAAAGTGGAAAGCTTGCAATACTTAATATTGTTTGGAGATGAGATAAGATGAGATGAGATAAAATGAGGTGAGGTGAGATAAGAAGAGATGAGATGAGATAAAATGAGATGAGATGAGATAAGAAAGATGTTTGTAATACATACGTCCTGAATTCTTTTCTTCTTCAACAGTATGAGGTCTTCATTTGTCCTCTTCAGCGATGAGAGCAGACCGGTTCTTTCCTCCTTGTATAATTCTTTCTCCTTCTTAATTTGAGTCAATTCAGCTTCCATTTCCGTGTTCACTCTTGACAGTATATTCTCCGTCGACTTCGCCTGCTTACAGCCCTTCTTTTGCGGATTCAAATGTATCAGAACTGTAACAAGACATCTTAGTTTAAAAATCATTTAATGCGTATATTAAGTTTTAGAATTTTTTCGTCACCTTCTTTTTCTTTCTGCAAGTTTCGTAAATTCTTTCTCAATTCCTCTGTCTCTCTGTTTATTTTGGATATTGTTCGTTGTTTCGTCGTCAGTTCAGCTTGCAGTCCCTTGATAGTTGCTACCAGATAGCTATCTTCTTTAAGCTTATTGAATATCAGAGCCGAATTCTGTGTTAGCCTGCTAACAGCTGACGTTGCCCTATCTGATTTTAACACTGTTTGCGTACAGACATTATTCTGTGGTCTCATAACTGTTTGAACAGCTACATGTTTCATGTTCTGTTTGTTGATTTTGTTCTTCAAGTCGTTATTAACCTTTCTATCATCCATCAACTGTCGTTCTACATCGATGATGTGACTCTCGTATTTCTGTTTCATATCACCAAACTTCTCTTGGAGCGTCATTAGAATGCTTTGGAAATGATTTTCTTTATCTTTCAATTCTTGCTCCAGCCTAGCTATTCTTTCTTCCAATAATTTCTTTTTATTGTCTTCAACTGAAGATGATTTTGATGCAACTGGGAATGTAATAAGTTAATTTATTAATTGTAACAAAACTATCAATACTTTTTTACAATGACATATTTTTTACCCTTGCAAAACTCGAATAATAACAAAATTTGTACTAGCCCCAATTTGGAATTCTTATTTATTGCTTTTTTGCTTTAAATATTTTGCTACAATATATTTATTATAATTAATTTTTCAGATGATTCTCATCTTTTACAAAACGACAACTTTTCCACAACTCTAGAATTTTCTCGTGAACACGTATCATATTAATTATATAAAAATATAGCTGTATATAAATAATAATTGACTTTCCATCGATATTAATGTAAATAAATAAATTGAATAGTGAAATATAATTATATCATTACCTATTAAAGCCGACACCGAGTCCGGATGCTTTCTTTTAAGAATCATTTCCATTTCTTTAACTTGTCTTTGTAAATCTTGTATGACGATGGCGTCTTTATCGCGCTGTATAACCAACTGCCTCCTGTCATCTCTCGCCTTATTTAATTCTGCCAACTGACTCTTTTCGTTCTGTTTGATTGTGTTCAATTCATTATTTTTATTCTCATATTCCTTAGACAGTCTCTGTATAAATCTTTCACATTCGGATATTTTTAAATCCACCACATACTTTTCCTCGTTAACTTGTTCTAATCTATTACGAAGCTGTTTATTGTCCTCGTTAAGTTTAACATTCAATAGTTCTAAACTCTTAACCCTCTCGATCGTGTCTTTCAATTCCTCTAAAACGGTATCGTTTTTTGTATTAATATTTTTTTTAGTCGAATTCGTCGTAAATCTTGTAACTTTGACATCATCTTTTTTCTTAGAATCTATAACACCGGCGGAGAAAGGTCTAGATTTAGTTTTTCGTCTTGTTTCCTCTTTGTTATTGTGTTTTAAATTTTGATTGGTCTGAAAACGACAATTGATCATAAAGAAAAAGTAATTAGAGTTTTTAATGCTAGTTAATACAAAAAATAGATTATATAAAATATTTGTATTGGTTATATACAGCCAAGAACGTGTTTACCGTAAACACGATTTGTCATTATTATAAAATAACTGCAACTCGAGAGGCAATGACCGGTCACGGCGCCAGATACAAACAGAAGATTGTTGATCAAGTTCTTTAAGGAATATAACTGAACAAATCTCGGCTTACAGAAAATATACAAAAAAAAAAAACAAATTCATACATTATATTTGATATTGGAAAACTTCGTACTTAAAATTATTCTTTCTAAATTCATTGATATTTTCCCTTCAACTAATAATCTTATTCGTTTAAATTAAACTAATATTTTTCGTGTCATGATAAATAAAAACAACTGACAGACATTCACATTTCTGCCCGTGATCACGGTTGCTGAAAAGTAACCAAAACGTCGGGAGTATGCAGTTTTTTTTACAAAAAATCCCGTAGTATATCCAAAAAATATTAATTTCATTTAAATGAATTACAACTAGTTGAAGGGAAAATATCAATTAATTTGTAAACGATAATAATTTTAAGCACAAAACTTTGCAATGTCAGATAGAATGTATGAATTTGTCAGGTCTTTTTTGTATATAATTTTGAATAAAACTCTCTAAAGTCTTAGATCTCATTATCTTATTGTATTCGGCAACATTAGTTAAAACATTGTATGTATGACATAACGTTTTATTTATCATTGTAGATGATTATGATTCATCGTAAGTATTGAATGCAGTTAGATTAAAGCTGATCATATTGTATGTAGTGAGGTAAGTGCATCTTCTAAGTGTCATTCGTGGATGAATATCTCGTCAGTCGTCAGTAGCCATGGCAAAGCTCTGTTGGACGGTCGTGTGTATCCTCGCATCATTGGAGCTCTGCACTCCGCTCATAAATGAATTGGAACCGGGTAAAGGTATGGATAGTATAAATTTTTATTTATTACTCTCAATTTTTTATTTAATTATTAGTTTTATTTTTTTCGTGACTGAGTTCAGTTGTTTTCAGCCTATAGGCTATAGGCACACATTTTGATTTTATTATTTTGTGAAAATACATAATAATTATTGTTTACGTGGTTATTTTTTAAAATTAATATAGAAAATAATCTTAGTATGTATTTTTATAGTTTATATATCGTATATGTTTTAAAAATTCTGTGGTTGAAAGAGAAAATTTTACAGATACAAATCTAAATGTATGTTATGGAAAGCCATATCATTTACTGAGCCCTACTCATTATTTTGAACTTTAATCTATCTCTTTAATTTTTCAATGATTTTTAATTTTTGTGACGGTAACCCACATACAAGTTACTGAAAAAGAAATCAAGCTTAGTTTCTCGAGAAAATTCTCTAACATCCAATGAAAGTCTCACAAAAACATTAACGGGTTACGTACAGAAGATTTATTTTAATAATTATTAATGATTCCAGAAATAATAAACATATATAAAAGCAAACAAATGCACGAATGTTTAAAATGTTTGTTTAAAAACATATTTATTATGAAATAAACTCATTTCCAAAAACATATTACGAAAAACAAAAAAGAATAATAATAATAAATGATTTAAATTGCTGATTCTAATTGAAATAATCAAAATGAAAAACTAAACAAGAAAATATATAAATAAAAAATCACTTTTCCGACAACTATATCATATTTGATTCTTTTCTGAATATTTACCAGAAAAATTTTACATCTTTAATTTAAATAATTAATTATAAGAAAATCCATAATATTAATTTAAACTATTTGAAAGCGACATTGTTTAATCTGATTTACTATTCGGGCTGATGAATGAGGAAAAATTAGCTTTCCGGATATCAACTCACCTTCGGTAAACGTGAGATAAATAAATACATTCATAATATACGGACATCGGACATAGGAATAAATACATTGTGTTAAAATAATTTATTGATGACACTTTGATTTAAATGCAACCTCATTGGTCGGCATTAAGAAAACAGTATTTGGCCGAATATTTTGAATGCAATAAAAAAAAAAAACTGTCATTACTGTCATTTTTTTTTTCTCACATACATCTATATTTCAAACAATAAATATATTTCTCATCAGCGCTGATAGAATTCTTTGCACTTTTATTTTATTCTAAAATCAGTATAAAAAAAATATTATGATTTATTTATAATTTAAAAGCTAACAACAAAAACGTATAATAATCCTCCGTGATCACGTGTGTTGTTAAACTTAAAAAAATAGATAATAGAAGTATCAAAGTACTGGCTGATAATAATATTTTAACATTCAGATTAATCTCTACATTTAAAGTTTAATAACGCATTTCAAACTAAAAATACTATATTTATACAATTGTTGGATTATATATATAAACGTCTATAAATAGAATTCTCTTCACAGTTTCTTTAATTTTATTTTCTATCATTGATATGTGTCAATTAAAATGCGTCGTTAGTCGTGACACGTGACTCGCTAAATGACTTTCTCCGGCCGACACTTGGTCACCTGTTCACATTTATTCTTTCTACACGCTAACGGTACACCGGTTTTCGATTTTACAGATTTAAAACGATTTAATATAAACAAGAATTTATCTATGTATGTCTTTTAGTGATTCATATTAATAGAAAATTATTTTTAATACAAATACTTTTCCATATATTATGTATTCGGGTCATTATTAATTAAACATAAATAGAACTATCTCCTTACATTTCAATAACTGCTTGTTAAAATGAATTAAAAGATATTATATTCACAACTTATAAAGTTTTTAAAACTTTATTCATCAATATATCAGCTACAAGAACGAAACTTTTAAATCCGACATAAAACTTTCAGTTTGAGATTCAAACATTCCTACAATTACATATAATCATAATAATAATTTTATAAAAATACACCTTTTTTCAAATAGTTTTCCATACAACATTTAAAAAAGAAATACTAGAAAAAAAGGACTTTAATTAAAATTTTATTCAAAAAAACGACGCCTAGATTATAAAAAAACTCAATGTATGTTTTCCAGTACTATGTTGAATAATAGATATATTCAATTTAAATTAATTGTATAAAGCTACAGAACAATAAGTATCATATCAACAACATTATCTTTTCAAATGCAATTTACATTAGACACATCCTGACATTTAATAGAACTGCTAAACCAAACACAATTGTAATTACATATAATTATTCACGTTTAGAATAATTGCTCATCCAATTGACTCATTCTGATTTCTCTAACTTAAACAATATGATAGATAGTATTGAATGAATAATAGATTTGTTCGAATTTTTAGAATGGCCCAAACGTCAATCTGTAAGACAACCTCAGGATGAGATAGTCCCTGATGTAACTACAGTTGTATCCGATACAACGGTAGATTTAATTGATATACCAGAAGATGTACGAGATGAAGAAGAGAAGATACAAACAAAAGCTGCAGATGCAGAAGAATCTAAAGTAGATTACTCCGGAGCGCAACTATGGAAAGTGGCGGCCGATAAGAATGGAGTAAGAATACTTTTAGGTAGACTGCGTCGGAGAAATCGTAAGTATTACAATAAATTATCACATATGAATTCTTGCGACGATTAAAACAAATAATCTTTTTTCAATAATATTAATAGTTATTTCAACGTGGTCGGGGAACCAAACGTACATCGACGTCCTTGTTAAACCTGACGCCGTACAGAACGTTACACGAATATTTAAGAGAGAGAACATTACTTTTGACGTAATTATTGAGGATCTACAAAGAAGGATCAACGAAGAAAACCCTCCACTCGATGAGAACGAAATTGAGCTGCAGGATAGGCGAGGTAATGTCAAATTCATAGGACATAAGAGCCCATAAGAATAGATAAACCCCAACATATTATTCCAAGGATTTATGTGGTTTTGTTACAGCAAGAGCTTACAATTTTTGGCGTTACAGGGCCAACCGACGTTTAGGTGTGATAAAAGCCTTCATGGGCTACAGCTCTCTTAATCTTCCAATGGAGTTATGGCCATATGCCAACTGGGGTTCGTTGTTGATTCGATATCAACAGTTTTTTCAACATAATCGTGTTAAACCCCTTGTTTTGTTAACTATTTGTTTTGGGGGTCATTTATTGTGAAGGTTGCATAGGTCTTCTGTGTTGTGACTAAAAATAATGCTAAATCTAGAGTCTCAAAGTTTCTAATTCAGTAACAATTTTGTAACTTAATAGTTTATAAGTTAATATTCATAGATTAGGATGGATTTGCCTGCTGGGATTGTTTATTATTTAGAAACTGTTAGTAAAATAATGTATAGATAATATTATAAACTAAATGTCTTTTTAACAGGTCACCGTATGACATGGAAACAATATCACAGATTGGAAGACATTCACGGCTTTATGGATTATTTAGCTAAAACGTATCCCAAGATCGTGAGCGTGAACTCAATAGGAAAATCCTATGAAGGAAGGGACCTTAAAGTAAGGAAATAAATTATTCTATTTATCTTTAATATATTCTTGTCATTTCTTCATTCTTTTATGTTTCGTTTTTCTGTATACCATGAATAGTTTATTTTTATTCCTCGTATCCATGGACATGTTTCATCAAAACAAACTCATTTCAAGAAGAAGATATATAAAATTTCTTAGTATAAATTTAAATTACCAACAAAGGGTCTAACCAAGAGGCTATTAAAGATATATGAGATGGAATGGAGTTCTTATTTTGGCGTGTTTTTACTAAAATAATACGTATATTTTATGCTTATTCCAAATTGGCATAGTCTCCTTACGTTAACAGTTTTTAATTCACAAATTTTCGCATGTATAGAAGTAACTTGTGTTATTGAATGAGAAACGGGAAGCGATTCGTCTGTACTGTATAGTTAGAGAATAAGTAGACCATCCAAATATAACACAAAATTGTTTAAATTAAACTAATATTTTTCGGATATACTACCTGTGCTATATTTTTGTAAAAAACTACATATATCCGACGTTTCGGTTACTTTTCAACAACCGTGATCACAGGCAGAGATGTGAATGTTATTGTTAACAAAATTGTTACAGGTTCTTCGTATATCAGATGGAAAACCATCAAACAAGGCGGTTTTTATCGACGGCGGTATACACGCTAGGGAATGGATCAGCCCGGCAACCGTCACATACTTCATCAACCAAATAGCTGAAAACTTTGACGAAGAATCCGATGACATAAGGAATATTGATTGGTAATTACACTTATTTTAACAAATTTTAGTTTATCTGTACGATCTAAATGTATGCTATTTTTTTAAAGGTACTTCTTGCCTGTCGTCAATCCCGATGGATACGAATACACGCATATCAAAGATCGTTTGTGGAGAAAAAATAGAAAACCGGCACTTTACGGTGTGAGACAATGTGTTGGGACCGATTTGAACAGGAATTTCGGGTATGTTTCTTTAAATTGTACTTCGTACTTAAAGAATACGGAATTATTTATAAAATAAACGATAATTGGTCCCTTTGTATTCTTAATCGTACTGGCAACATTGAAAGCCAATTAAATAATTATAAAAAAAATAACAAGTAAAATATGACGATTCTATTAATCTAACTTTTTTTTTAGATATCGTTGGGGTGGTAAGGGTTCTTCAAGTAATCCCTGCAGTGAAATATATAGAGGAGCTAGAGCATTTTCTGAACCGGAATCCAGAGCAGTATCGGTAAGAATAATATACATTTGAGTCATTTTAATTTGAAAGAAATGTAAATATGTAGATAATATAATTAACAAAAAGAACAAATGTTTTCTCAACTTGGTAATAGTGTTAAAACCTCTTTTGTGATTAAGTCTGAATTTAGTACTTTTGCTTTAAAAGTGTTCAAATATTATGCAAGACTTTTTCTTATTATATGTAATTTCCAGGAATTCATCAAGACAAGTGCAGCTAACTTCTCAGCATACCTGACATACCACAGCTATGGTCAATATTTATTATACCCTTGGGGATATGACAATGCAGTCCCACCAGATCATAAAGAATTGGATCTTGTCGGAAAAAATATAGCAGCGGTAAGCCTATACCCAGTATGAAAAGTCTATTTATCATGCTATATAAAGGATATATCTAATAAATATATATATTTTTAGGCAATTGAAGCGACTGGCGGCTCTAAATATTCTGTTGGGTCATCTAGTGGCCTTCTTTATCCTGCTTCTGGAGGATCAGATGACTGGGCCAAAGGCCAGGGCATTAAATATGCATACACAATTGAACTAAGCGATACTGGACGCCATGGATTTGTTTTGCCGACAACCTTTATTGAACCAGTTGCAAGGGAATCATTATCAGGCTTAAGAGTACTTGCAGCCCAATTAAGAAAGAACTAAGCATGACTATAAAGTTATGTTTAAACATAAGTTTAAGTTTAAAATAATTTTAAGTTAAAATAGGTTGTGATATCATTTTTGATTTTTTTTTTATTAAAGTATATTTATTGTGACAATAATTGAAGATTTATAAATTATAAAGAAACATGAAATTAGTTTTATTTAATTTCTTACCTTGGAAACTGCATTTTTATTCTCATTTTGAATATTTTCATTGGGTTTTGTGACTTTAATTTTCGGTATATTTCCTGGGTCGGTGTGTGCATAAAAGCCGTTTGAGACAGTAGCAATAGGGCTACTTTTCAATAAATTCTCAGTCTCATGAGATATGTGCTCAGCTCTTTTTAAAATCAACTCCACATCTTCAACATCTTCACCAATTTCACTATCTTTATTTTTTGGATCCGATAGCTTTTTAATCTCATTAAAAATCATTTTTATTTCTTCATCATCATCTTTGTACGCTTCACAAGTCTTTTCGTAAAATAGGAACTCATTTGTGCTATTCTCGTTAGAGATTTCTTCATTACATTTTTTCACTTCTGCCATACTTTAAAAAAACAACCTACTTTTTTTTAACTAGTATTAGCGATTTTTAAAGCTTTCGTAAAGTTTTCTTTATTTATTTTAAACTAGAAGTTGCTAGGCAACAACATTTCAAGGTTTTTCCTCAATTCGGAAACTTGTACATAGAAATTTTATTTTTGCGATGCCTTCAGAAGATAAATTATTATTCCATATTTTAAAACTGTAAAATTCCTTATTTTAATAATATAATACCGATGGCCTCAAATGTAAAAGAAATCAATACTTGCAATTTTTAAGGTTCATATGTTCTTTCATACTTTAAGAAAACTGTTTTGAAATTAACATCTTGGATTCTGACAATAATTTAATGTGAAATTGGTTAATTATATTATTATAAAAATGATAATCGTGCAGACATAAAAAGTTCCTTACAATTCACGTCGTGAAATATTTTTTTCTGGTTATCCAATTTTATTAACTACAAATACAGAACTAAAGTAAAACAGGAGCAGTAATATGAAATCACACAAATATACGCAAGTTTGGCTCGTATGTATAATTTAGTAAGTGTATCCGATAAATATAACTAATGAACTACATTTAAGCTTCAATTTGACAGTGACAACCATTAAGACTAATGTTGTTGTTGATGAAATTTAATAAATTTCTGAAAAAACTGAATTAATATATTTTCAGTACAAATTCCTTATTTTAATAATACATCATGTCAGTTCCTCCGCAAGCATTTGTAAACAAAAATAAGAAACATTTCCTTGGTATTCCGGCGCCTCTTGGTTATGTGGCTGGTGTTGGTAGAGGGTATGAATCTTTGTACAATCAAGTGCTGTCTTGTTTTCAATTAATTATGTTATTCATATAATACTTGCTTTTTTTTCAGGGCTACAGGTTTTACTACCAGATCAGATATTGGTCCCGCCAGAGACGCCAATGACGTATCGTAAGTTTTATAGTTCGTGTAATTTTACTATATCCCATAATAGTATAATATTTATATTGTAAATATTTAAACTCCATTAAATATTGGTCTTTCATATATTCCATATAGAATATTCCATAAATTTGTTATATTAAACTTGTTTTAGTGATGATCGTCACGCACCTCCCGCCGCCAAGCGAAAAAAAACTGAAGAGGAAGATGATGATGAAGACTTGAATGACTCAAATTATGACGAATTTTCTGGTTATAGTGGTTCCCTCTTTTCAAAGGTACTTTGTACTCCTTTCATATACACAACTAGCTTTCCGTTGTCAGCTTCACCCACATGGAGTTCGGTTATATCACATTTACAAGAGAACCTTTCATAAGTCTGGGATAAAAACTATCCTATGTTCTTTCTCATTGTCAACTCTATCTTCGTACCAAGTTTCATTAAAATCAGTTCAGTGGTTTAGGTGTGAAAGCGATCAGACAGACAGACATACAGATAGACACACAGACAGACTGAGTTACTTTTGCATTTATAATATTAGTAGGGATGAAACTTTTTTTCAACACTATAATCTTATTGCTTTAATCTTTATGATTCCAAATGGACTTTATTAGGATTAATGTAGCAAATTATTAGAAATATATAATAATTTAATTATAAAATGTTAATTCACCTAGGATCCATATGACAAAGACGATGCTGAGGCAGATGCTATATATGAGTCAATTGATAAACGGATGGATGAAAAAAGGAAAGAGTATAGAGAGAAGAGACTTAAAGAAGATTTGGAGAGATATCGTCAGGAAAGGCAAGTTTAATAATAAATTTAGTACATTCCAGTATTCTAGCTTAGATTTTTTTTATAATAATTAATAGAACAGACTAGTATATTACATATTTTTCTAATGATACTCTACATAAAACAAATGGTTTTGTTTTATTACTCTTTCTATCAAAGAAACCTTTTTGTGAATCAATTTTTCATGTAGACGTTGAAATTGTACTTAGAGAGAAATATATAAAGTGTGATAATATAATAGATATGATTACCAATTGGCAAAGACATGGATATTCTGTGTTGTATTACTTCGTCCTGTGGGGATTATATGGAATTACTGCATTAAATACTGCCAATTTCTTTTTCTAATCTCTAAGCTATATTACTATTAAGTACAATCTGTTCTGTCGTTTTTATGTAAAAGAACAACAAACAATATTACATATTAGTGTAGATTTTTAACATATCAACACCCATTTAATAATAACATTGGATAAATAAATATTGTATATGTATATGTTTGTAAAATTTCAACAACACTGAATATTACTAAAGTTAATTTAATGTAGGTTTTCTGAAAACACAATAATATCACTCTTTATAAACCAAATTTTTCAGACCCAAAATACAACAACAGTTTTCGGATCTCAAACGTGAACTGAAAATGGTTTCCGAAGATGAATGGGCTGCTATACCGGAAGTCGGTGACGCCAGAAACAGGAAGCAAAGGAATCCAAGAGCTGAGAAATTTACTCCTTTACCAGATAGTGTGTTATCGAGGAATCTCGGTGGAGAGTCTAGTTCAACAATTGATCCTAGCTCGGGCTTAGCTTCAATGATGCCGGGAGTTATGACACCTGGAATGCTGACACCTTCAGGTATTCATAAAGACAAATACAGAATAATATTAGAACATCCAAAATAAAGTGTTTAAAAGATCAATCACTTGTATAGAATAAAATCATATTACAGAATTGTCTATTACTTATGCATCTTTCAATTCATACAATTTCTATGTTCATACATAGAAATTGTAAACAGTGACTTTGTAATCTACAAGATTGATTAATGTTTTTTTGGTATAATATTCTATTAATGATTATATTTATAAGAATACAAACTAACAATTTCATGCATCTCTAACTTTAGTTAACTTCATTCAATAGGATGGTTTAACTTCTTGGTTTATATGAATATTATAAGATTATAATTATTTATAATATTTTATTTCCAGGTGATCTCGATCTACGTAAGATAGGTCAAGCGAGGAACACTTTGATGACGGTGAAATTGTCACAAGTTTCTGACTCAGTGAGTGGTCAGACAGTGGTTGACCCTAAGGGCTACCTCACTGACTTACAGTCTATGATACCTACTTATGGCGGTGATATAAATGATATCAAAAAGGCCAGGCTGCTTCTCAAGTCAGTGAGAGAAACAAATCCTAACCACCCACCCGCTTGGATTGCTAGTGCTAGATTAGAAGAAGTTACTGGTAAGTATAAAACTATTACAAATAGTCTTTTCGTATGTACATAAAGACTTTTTACTGGGCTATATAATAGTATAATACAATTTAATTACTTATAATTTGGTTTATTTCAAGTAAATAGTCGAATTTTACACTTACATATTATGTATACAGGAGTCCAAATAAATTTCCGCCGTTTTTTAACAAAAATTAAATATTTATTATAGAAGAACGGTAATATGAATTTATTTAAAATATTGCCCATCACTTGCAACCATTTTTTCCCATCTCTATGGCAGCATTCGAATCCCACGTATGAAGAACTCCTTGTCTTTTGAGGCTATCCACGAATCTACTCAATTTTTGGTATCCTTAACAACACTTCCCAATCAAGTGTTTCCAAGTACTTTTTCACGGGAGCCGCAACATGTGGACGAGCATTGTCATGCAGAAGAATAATGTTTTCGTGTCTAAAATAGTATTGAGCGAGTTTTTCCTTCAGAGCTCAGCTCAATCTCATCAATTGTGTTCGATAGAGGGCTCCAGTAATTGTTTCGCTCGGATTAAGCAACTCATGATACACAACGCCTAGCTGATCCCACCAAATACACAGCATAAATTTTCTTCCGTGAATATTCGGTTTTGCGGTTGATGTTGACGCGAGGCAAGGTAATCCCCATGATTTTCTTCTTTTTGGATTGTCATAATGTATCCACTTCTCATCACCAGTTACAATACGATGTAAAACACCCTTTTTTATGTCTAGCTAGCAGCATTTCACTTAAGCATAATCTTCGTTCAAAAGCTCTCGGCTTTAATTCGTACGGAACCCAATTTCCTTGTTTATGAATCATTCCTAATGATTTTAAACGATGTGATACTGCCTGCTGAGTGACTTCTAATGTTAGAGCAAGCTCTTTTTATGTTTGAAATGAATCTTCCTCCAACAATTCCTCTAATTCTGCATCCTCGTAAATTTTCGGGCTTCCACTGCGATCTTTGTGTTTTACGTCGAAATCACTGTTATTAAACTTTTGAAACCACTTTCTACACGGTTTCTCACTCAAAGCACCCTCAGTATATGCTTCTACGAGCAATTGATGCGCCTCAGCAGCAGATTTCTTTAAATTAAAGAAGTAAACTAATATTTCCCGCAAATGACGCCTACTTGGTTCAAATTTTGACATGTTCAACTTTTAAAAAATATATTTTACCAATATAAAATCAATAATATTTATAAGTTATTTTGTTCCTGAATGTCTAAACTATTTTTGAAGCCGGTTATCACCTGAGAAAAATAACCGAAACTCGGTACCGCGCCATCTACAATAAAACGGCGGAAACTTATTTGTACCCCTTATACATTATAAATAAAGAAAATCAATATAAAACACTATTTGTCTTGATATGTAAATGCTTTAATATTTGATAGGTAAAATCCAGTCAGCCCGCAACCTCATAATGAAGGGTTGCGAGGTCAACCCCAGTAGTGAAGAGCTGTGGTTAGAAGCAGCTCGTCTACAACCACCGGACACAGCTCGAGCGGTTATAGCTCACGCCGCCCGCAACCTGCCTCACAGTGTACGAGTGTGGGTGAAAGCGGCTGAATTGGAACAAGAACCAAAGGTAATACATGCTATATTAGTCATAACCAAAGGCATAATTTTCTTATTAGGTTTTTTAACATAATATGTAGCTCATGTTAGTTAATTATTCTTTATATATTAATTATTATTATACTATATATATGCATCAATGATCTCTCCCTTATTATTATTATTTGTATCATAAGCCAGACTAAAATACATTTATCATAATATTGACCTGATATGATTGACATCTGATTAAGAGCATTTCTATGATTTGAATAATGATGTTAATATATCTACTATAGCCCAGAAATCCTTTACCATAGAATAAAAGAACTAATCTAGGATTTTTAAAATTATATGTATTAGAAAATCTATAACGATATTTTTTTCAAAAGTTTATAAATACAAATATTATAATTCTCCTTAAATACTGCAGTAGTATACCTTAAAATAATAACTGTCTTCTATCATATGTTATTACTTTTAATCCTTTTCTTCCAGGCTAAACGTCGTGTTTACAGGAAGGCGTTGGAACATATACCAAATTCAGTCCGTTTGTGGAAAGCAGCCGTTGAATTGGAAAACCCTGAAGATGCTAGGATCCTGCTCTCAAGAGCTGTAGAATGTTGTCCGACCAGTGTAGAACTATGGCTGGCTCTGGCTAGACTGGAAACATACGAAAATGCAAGAAAAGTACTAAATAAAGCACGTGAAAATATACCCACTGATAGACAGATCTGGGTAACAGCTGCTAAGCTTGAAGAAGCACAAGGTGAGTCAAATAAATGTTTGCTTAATAAATAATAAAATATTTTGGGATTGTTTATGATGTCTACTTTACGAGAAAAAGTTATAAACGTTTTAATAGTTTACAAAAAAGTTCTAAATGTATGTTCATTTAAAAAAGAATAATTTATCTTGTGATTGTTTACGTCTAGTTTACAAAAAAAACAGTTTTCGCTTCTGCCAGAAGGTCTATAGAAAAATTATTTATATTCATCATCATTAAATATATATTTTTTCGTTACAGGCAACACTCATATGGTAGAAAAGATTATAGACCGTGCCATAACGTCGCTTAGCGCTAATGGTGTCGAAATAAACAGAGAGCATTGGTTCAAAGAGGCGATGGAGGCTGAGAAATCTGGAGCAGTTCATACTTGTCAGGTAGTTACAGTAACAAATTATTATATTTTGTTAATTTATCCCACTTTAAATATATGTCCTATTTTGTATGCCATATTTTTGGGTGTTGCTATATACTTATAGTTTTTATAAATTGAGTCATTGGCTCATAAAAACAACAAAAATTAAATATGTATGTTTGCAGAAATGTTTTATTTACAATAATTTTGTTTTGTATTTTACATTGTATAATATTTTTGAAGTCGTTTTATTTTATATAAATTAATTTCGTAATATATATTTCCAGGCAATAATTCGTTCTGTGATCGGTCACGGCATTGAACCAGAGGATCAAAAACACACTTGGATGGAAGATGCTGATGCTGTGAGTATTAATATAAATATAGAGGAGACCAGCAATCCTTATCATTTCATTAGAATCTCTTAAATAGCGGCAATGTTAATATATTAGTACAATGATTGTAAACTAATCTTTAAATAGATTGAAAAGGTTTTCTGAATTTCAATTTTAATTCTTCTAAATCCATAAAATCTATAGCATACATATTAATACCGAGATTACGTAGATTCAATACAAGACCTTTACTCTCAGATAATATTTTATCCATGTGAGAAATTTCCTTTAAAAAATAACAATCTTATTGATTGATTTATTTATATGAGTAAAACATCCCTACATTTACATTAATCCCCTATTAATTGAATATTTTTTATTTCTCAGTGCGCCAACGAAGGTGCGTATGAGTGCGCCCGTGCGGTGTACGGGTATGCGTTATCAGTTTTTCCCTCCAAGAAGTCAATTTGGTTAAGAGCCGCCTACCTCGAGAAACAACATGGTACGAGGGCGACGTTAGAAGCTCTGTTACAGAGGGCAGTAGCTCACTGTCCTAAGAGCGAAGTCCTATGGCTCATGGGGGCGAAGTCCAAGTGGCTAGCGGGTGAGCGTTATTATATTAACAAGAAATTTAGTTTTCATACTCCAATTAGATCATATATTAATAAGGCACGAGATCTGTACTATTATTTCAAGACCTTAGTATATTTTATCAAGCGACCTTAAATAGAAACACCCTATATAATTCTACTTCTATTTGAAAATCAAGGTTATTCATATTTAATATGTTTTAGTGATGTCATAGTCTTAAATTGAATTATTTCAAGAGGCCCATATTGAATATGTTTTTGCCATTTATTTCGTTGGTTTATAATTAATTGATAATAGTTTTGATTGTAAATTATATTATATATTAATTTCCAGGTGATGTGAGAGCAGCAAGACAGATCCTGTCGTTAGCTTTTCAAGCTAATCCTAATTCAGAAGAAATCTGGTTGGCCGCTGTCAAATTGGAAAGTGAAAATAAGGAATATGATCGAGCCAGGAGATTGTTGGAGAAAGCTAGAGCATCAGCACCCACACCTAGAGTGAGATATACTATTAATATAATAATTATGAACCAACTTAATATAATGTAGGTTCTGTATTTAACTTTTATTTTTTTCAAGTGATTTTATCATAGTTTTTTTCTTGTTTGTTGGTATTTTTTTAATGTGATTTAATATTTATATGTCTGTGTATATTTTTAATTCATTTTCAATATTACTATTATAAACTAATGATTTTACTCAGTTATATAATAGGAAGTATTTTTTCTTTAGTTTATTATTAACCTCTTGGTTATTATATTGTTCTCTTGAATAATGTTATTTTTTTCTTTCCAGGTCATGATAAAATCAGCAAAACTAGAATGGGCTTTAAACAAGTTAGACGTAGCTTTGAACTTGCTGTCTGAAGCTATCACTATATTTGGTGATTACGCGAAACTACACATGATGAAAGGACAGATAGAAGAACAGATGGGGAGAGATAGTGACGCTCATAACACATACACACAAGGGGTAATGATATATTGATTGATATATATATATAGGTGGAAATATATATATATATATATATAGGTGGAAATATATATATATATATATATAGGTGGAAATCTCTATATATATATATATATATATATATATATATATATATATATATATATATATATATATATAGAGAGAGATTTCCACCTATATATTGACTCATCACGATATCTCTGGAACCATAAGGCGTAGCGACTTGAAATTTGGTAGGATTATTCCTTTGCTGAGTAGAGGTCAGCTAAGAACGGATTTTACGAAATTCCACCCACAAGGGGGGTAAACAATGAAAAATACGCTTCACGCCTAAACCACTGAACTGATTTTAATGAAATTTGGTACAGAGATGGAATTGACCTTGAGAAAGAACATGGGATAGTTTTTATTCCAGACTTTTGAAAGGTTCTCTTGGAAACGCGATATAACCGAACTCCACGCGGGCGAAGCTGCGGGCGGAAAGCTAGTTTACTTATAAAAATATAGGGGTATTATCTTTTATATCACTTAACATAAAGCTTATATAGACAAGAGACAATTTTCTTAGCATTCAAAGGATTCACCGTGCGGGTACCGGGTATATCGACTTGCAGAGATTGATTAATTATTTTTTTTTGGTTTAAAAATTAAATTTTATTCAATTATTATAGATGAAATCAAAACAGTTCTATATAATAATGTATTATTTACAATTGAACTTATAGTTAGTATTTAAGTTTGTTGTGAATTAACAATGTATTTTATAAATAATATATAATTTCAGTTGAAGAAATGCGCTACAAGTGTCCCTATGTGGATATTACTGTCGAGACTAGAAGAAAAACTCAAACATATAACTAAAGCCAGATCTGTGTTGGAGAAGGCGCGACTCAGGAATCAAAAGAATGCTGAGTTATGGTAATACTATATAATATATAACAGTTATTATATGTAGTTGTAGTATAGAATAGAAAGTCAGTTTAATGAAGTGCTAAGACAATGTCACGATTTATAGATATACAGGGTGACTGGTGAATTACTATCGATACTTGAGGACGTGATATTTGACGATCATATATGACAAAATAAAAATTAATATAACATAAATATTAATAAACTTCTAAGTAAAGTTAACCAAAAGTTATGTAATTAATTACGCATCGTGTGAACACCCTACAGATTAGGTATACACACACACACACACACGCGTGCGGCGGCGTAGTGTTGTATCAGCACGCCGCCGCACGCCTCCACACTTGGAACACTTGGAACGTGTCCACACTTTATTTATTTATACGGAAATTTGGTCAAAAATTAAGTACCTATTTATTTTTACATAATTCGGATGAGAATCATGTACCGAGTATTCTCCTTAAATATTGATAGTAATTCACCAGTCACCCTGTATAACGTTATAAATGTATGCAAGTGTGGGTTTATTGTACAATATTGAAAATAATATGCTGTATAATTGTATTGAAGTATTCTTAGCATTGTAATAATTTATATCTAAATTTGACATATGCAACATGCTATAAAGCTAAAAATGGTTCATTGATATGTAGGTAACATTCTGAATCTGGGACACATTGATAAATTAATAATAGTATGATTGTAAGGTGTGAGAACTATATGCAGTCTTAAGTATACAAAAAAGACAATTTTACATACATCTCTGGTATTGGATGAATTCCGTGAAAATAGCCTTCAAGATAATTAATAGATTTTAATGAAGCTATTTTGATAATATCGAAGAAATATTGTAATAACAATAACATATAATGACTAATTTACAAACACTGTCAAGACGCCGGAAGAATATATATTACTAGCTGCGCCCCGTGGTGTTACCCGCGGATTTCAGAGATTTTCGTTATGTAAAGTAGTCTATGTGTTATTTATGGACGTCAGCTTCCTATATACAAAATTTTATCAAAATCAGTTCAGCCGTTTGAGCGTAAAGAAGTAACAAACATACACACACACACACAAACTTTCCCAATTATAATATTAGTAGGATGTTCTATAGATACATTTTGAATCGTCATCAGCCTATAAACGCCCACTGCTGAGCAAAGGCCTCTTCTTACATTTAGAAGGTTTTTGGGCATTAATCACCACGCATGCTCAAGACGGGTTGGTGATTTCAAACTTATAATTGTGAAACTATAAGTCCAGGTTTCCTCACGATGTTTTCCTTCACCGTATGTCAGTAGTGTCTAAATACTATTTTGAATTTTGAATACACAATGTTTATATGTTTGAAGGTTGGAGAGTGTTCGTTTGGAGCAGCGGGCTGGTTGTGTCGAGGCGGCCGGGTCGTTGTTGGCGAAGGCGCTCCAGGAGTGTCCCACGGCCGGCAGACTGTGGGCACTGGCTGTGTTCATGGAGCCGCGCCCGCAGAGGAAGACTAAGAGTGTGAGTACACACACACATACACACATACACATACAGGCTTAAACACACACACACATACAAAAACTCTCTAGTCTCTCACACATACAAACACAGATAAAGAGTTCTAAGCAGACAACATACATGATACAAGTGTTCTCTAGTCTCACACACACACATACACAGATAAAGAATTATAAGCAAACAACATACAAGTGCTCTCTAGTCTCTCTCACACACACACACATACAGGCTTAAACACTCACACACACATATACAAACACTCTAGTCTCTCACACACACATACACAGATAAAGAGTTCTAAGCAGACAACATACAAATGCTCTCTAGTCTCACACACACATACAGGCTTAAACACACACATACAAACATTCTCTAGTCTCTCTCACACAAATACACAGATAAAGAGTTCTAAGCAGACAACATACAAGTGCTCTCTAGTCTCACATTCACATAAAGATTTAAAGTTTACACACATAAGATACAAACACTCTCGTGATTAAACTTAGACTAGAGAATAGAGATCTCTCTTACGAACAGACACATACACACAAATGTGGGGCCTTAAACGCATTATGTCATATTTAGAATGTATTTAGATATACAGATATATATTCATTTTCATCCTGGATCCGATATTTGTCCACATTCGATCCTACTACTATTGTTAATGCAAAAATTTGTGTGAATGTATGAATATAGGCATGTCCGCTGTTCCTTCACGCAAAAAATTTCTTAATGTATTTCTATGAAACTTTACAAAAGTATGGCTTTAATATCAAAATAAAATATGATCTATAAATCGTTTCACAATTCCGTGTACTATCAGGTCATAGAATTTGTTTTGTAAAATTTTAAGTCAAGTTACATACTATTTAGTATAGATATCAACGACAGTGACTTGCTTGTAAGTCCTTGGATGGATTTACAAGCAAAAAGTAATGTTAATTTGAATGAATATGGAAGACGGGAACTTATTATGGTAATATATAAGTGGTTTATATATATATTTATTTATATTTTATTTTTTCAGGTGGATGCTCTGAAGAAGTGTGAACACGACGCCCACGTCCTACTAGCGGTGTCGCAGTTGTTCTGGACAGAGAGGAAACTAAATAAATGTAGAGAATGGTTCAACAGAACTGTTAGTATATACTTATATTATACTTATATACACTTATATAATATACTTATATACCACAAATACATTGGACTGAATTATAGAATATTTTTTGTATTACTATTTACTATTTTACAATCAAATTAATTAAAAATGTTAATTCAATAAAACTTATGATCTTAAATTTTCTTTGACATCCAAATTAATTATATATACAGGGTGACTGGTGAATTACTTTCAAGATTTAAGGAGAATACTCGGTACATGATTCTCATTCGAATTATGTAAAAAAAAAGGTACTTAATTTTTGACCAAATTTCCGTATAAATAAATAAAATGTGGCCACGTTCCAAGTGTTCCAAGTGTGGACGCGTGCGGCGGCGTGCTGACACAACATTACGCCGCCGCACGCGTGTGTGTGTGTGTATACCTAATCTGTAGGGTGTTCACACGATGCGTAATTAATTACATAACTTTTGGTTAACTTTACTTAGAAGTTTATCAATATTTATGTTATATTAATTTTTATTTTGTCATATATGATCATCAAATATCACGTCCTCAAGTATCGATAGTAATTCACCAGTCATCCTGTATACCACAAATATATTGGACTGAATTATAGAATATTTTTTGTATTACTATTTACTATTTTATAATCAAATTAATTAAAAATGTTAATTCAATAAAACTTATGATCTTAAATTTTCTTTAACGTCCAATCTTTTTCCCTTAACGTCCAAATTATTTATGTATATTAAAAGTTTTTTTTGTGTAATCTAATTAAATTTAATTAGAAATGTCTTATATTTTTTTAATTTGTTAAAGGTGAAAATCGACCCAGATCTCGGTGATGCATGGGCTTACTTCTACAAATTCGAATTGCTGCACGGCAACGAACAGCAACAAGAAGACGTTAAAAACAGGTGCAAAGCAGCCGAGCCGCACCACGGAGAGAACTGGTGCAAAGTTTCCAAGGATATAGCCAACTGGTGTTACAACACGGAACAGATATTACTACTGGTGGCTAAGAACCTACCCGTGCCCACATAGAAATGTATAAAGACAATATAAAAAATAAAAACCGTTCAAAAATATCAATTAGTATATAATAAAGTGTTTGAACAGATATTGCTACTGGTGGCTAAGAACCTACCTGTGCCCACATAGAAATGTTTAAAGACAATTTAAAATTAAAAAATAGTTCAAAAATATTAATTAAAATAAACTATTGTTTGATTAATGTTTTATTAAATTTAATTTGAATTCTTATTTACCGATTACTCCATTCTGTTGTACATATTCCGAGTTGAATGTAATGAGTTAAAGAATTTTCATTATAATCCTTGTCAAGATGGGAAAAAAAATAGTAGGAATGATAGTAGTTTGAAAATTTATAAATAATAATAATAGAATTTTAGACGACATCACTTATATTCAAATAAAGATTTTTTTTTTGCTATGACTTCATTCGCGCGGGAACCGTGGAACATTTCAAAGTCAAATACATAAGTTATATGTAATTTCACATTTTCTGACATTATTATTTCTGTACATGAAATGTAGTGTTAACAAAACAATATATTTTGCTCCTGATGTAAAGTTATTTTATAAATAAACATTAAATATATGAGTTTTATTTAACCCTCTAATATTAAATGGTTATCCAATTAAACAACAAAATTACACATCGCACTAGTTGCGTATCATATTTTGGAAGTTTAATTCGTATTGTGTAGTGTAAACACGGTTTGCATATAAAAGTTCTATAAATAATGGTAGAGCGTGTTTGAATTAACTGGCTTCATGCCAGACGTGGGACGCGCGCTAAATAGCTTCACGGATTTTTCATTTCTTTTCGCTCCAGAATCGAAAGTCGAGTAACTGAAACAGTTATGCTCGATATATATAAAGTATAGTGATATTGTGTTACGTTTAGTGTTATTGTGCTGTGAAAATGTCTCCCAAATGTCCTGTTCTACCGTTGCAAGAACTTAGTTTATCTTTAGTAGCTAGACAATTGATACATTCACTGTCTCGTGTGATAACAGAGGAGGATGTGGCCCTGCCTTTCGCGATGGTGTCCTCTTACTACGAAATCATGGGCGCTACGAATGATATATTTCAGGATCTTCTAAATTTAATATTGAGTTCAGAATATCTAGATCCTTCTATAAGATATTATTCTATGAAGTTGCTATTAAAAGAAAACGTCAAAAGTTTAGCGACGGGCCTCTTTCCTTGTCAGTATTACAGAAAGATCCTTGAACTAATTGCTGAGCAAGGACGACATTTGCACTCTCTCAACCTCAAAGGCGTTTGGGTGAAAGATGATCAGTTAAATCTTTTGTATGATATAATAAAAAACCTTAAACATCTAACTGCGCTTAATATACCGTACACAGCTAATGACGAAGTGCTCAAATTTATCGGTGAAAATAACAAAGTTTTGAAGCTACTAGACGTATCTGGTGAAACAGATATAACTGAGATCGGTATTGACGCAATGCTGTCAGGTAATCCACAGCTGACTCAGAGTTTAACTGTCATCAATATTGGAATGTACGGCGAGGAAAACATCGACCATACTGACGTAGCACTTTTTATACGATATCTACCGAACCTCACAAATCTAGGAAGTTATTCGTATGTCGGTAAAGCTTTGTACTACATACATAACAACGATTGTCCCCCCGGCTTCAAAACAAAGTTACAATATGTACACGACATAGAAACCAATATAAGAACAATGAAAGCCATAGTCACGTTATGTCCTTTAATAGAAACAATTTATTTAGAACATCCAGAACCGGGTGTTTTACAAATGTTAAAAGATTTGAGTAATATGAATAAAATTAAATTAAACAAATTCCAATGCCACGAACTCCATCAGTTGTTGGACAAAATTGGATATAAAATTGTCACGCTTATGCTATCAGGTTCACTGGGGTCTTTTAATTTCACGAGAATTGCAGAAACATGTCAGAATTTGGAAAGTATAGAAATTTACTCGATACAAACTGCAACACACGAAGAAGAGGTACCGTTTAATAAGCTTGAACATATAGAAATAATTCAAGGAAATCTTTCAACTTCATGTTTAAGATACCTTATGACTGGCAGTCCAAAACTAAAGAAGATCATTATCGGAGATGAAATTAAATTAGATGACCAAGACATGGCGCGGTAAGTTGTTCAATAATTAAAAAAATTTGACTATAAAGTCAGTGTTTAAAAATAGAGTACTTAGATAAACTTGATCCTTTAGAACTAGATTATTCATTTAATTAATTCATTTTATGTAATTACTCAAATAACAACCAACTACTTAATACTTATATCCACCAGTTTACTTGATTGTAACAAAACATTTATTGATAGTAGATATAACACACATTAAAACTTTCAATAGAATATGTGTATTTCACATGTATTAAAAATGTGTAAAAATCTAAAAACTTTAAATTACTTTATAATTAAACTATGTATATATTTTTTGTAGGATGATACGGAGGTACAAATTCGATAATTTAGAAGGAATCTGGTTTCCAAACGCGCCTCGTCTCACGCGGGATACAGTGGAACTTTTAATGGAAAGCTGTCCTAAACTACAAAGCCTTGGACAGCTGAGTGGTTGGAGGTTCACCCCTGATGATATGATGCTTATGAGAGCCATCGTCGCCAGCACTAACACCGACCTAGTGCTGCTACCCCTGGGAATATTCCAGCAGGGAAATTAAATTGTACGAAATAAATATATAATGTTTATTTAATGTATGGATTTAATATAGACTAGGTATTTTTTTAAGAAGAAAACGAATTTAAAATTATAAGAAATTTTATTTTAATAAATCCAAAATAAAACAACTGGCAACTTTAATGTGAATTAATGGTACCGCTACATCGTATACACGTCCTTTGGTTATTCATACAAACAAACAGTTTCAAACTTATAAATATGTAAATAAAACTATTCTAAGAAACTTCCATGTGAGTTTCTTCTCTAGCTTTTATAGCTGGAGGTAGATTTTCTTGATCTTTAATCTTTTTATTCTTTGTCCTTGATTTGTACATTTTACATTCATCCGCGCATTTTGTTGTTATAATGCTCCTGAAACAAATAAATATTAGTATGTTTCCTTTTACGATATAAACCTTTCAGTTATTTGGTGATTTGTATTACCTAACCAAGTTTTCTTTAACTTTAAACTTCGATGTTATTTCAAGAATTATGTCCGATACAATTTTTGGGTCCAAACACATTTTCGCGGGTTTATTTTGAAAGGCCGGAGACCGTTTTCCCGTCAATGAATGTGTCGCTAGTATCCTAAAAATAAAATGTAATAAAATTTTTGCTTACCCTATGAATAATAAGTAAGAAATAATGAATTATAATAAAATTATTGTTCATACCACAGAGTATATAAAGTAAAATAAAATATCCCATACCTTCTTGGAAATGTCGCTAGCAACAATGTTCTTGTTGCTATGGTGTAAGATTTCCAATTCACCTTTCTGTATTTGTCTTTATGTATTAATGTTTTACCACTGCCTATTGGGATCTGTAAAAAAATGTATGCATACAACTGACAGTTAGACAAATAGAACAAGTTACCATAATTTAAATATGTTTTTACCCATTCGCTTTCATTATTCGGTGGCTGTTTTTCTCTAGAGTTGTCTGTTATGACTCGAGCTTTGCTATATTTATTTGTAATTAGGACGTTATCATCTGAACGATTCAAATCCTCACTTTGGTTATCTTCGCTGTGTTCGCTTTCATATGAAGGAGGAATATTGGATTTTTCGTGCGTCGTGACATCTTTGAAACTGTTTTTTTCTATATTATTTCCTGTGTCGGGTTTCAAATCGTTCAACAATCTAAATAGGTCTTTGAAACTTGATTTAATATCTAAGAGTTCTTTCACATTTATACTAATGGTTTTAATTTCTTTAGATGGGGAGGGGTTTTTTCTTGTGGAATCAGGTAAGGATTTATTGTGTACAAACTCTTTGTACTTTCTCTTACGACTCGAGTTATGGCTCCTATTGTTTTCATTTATTTGACGTTCTTTTAATACATTTACAACCGCATTCGGTCTATGGACAGGTACTAAAGCCTTTTTACTATTTCCTTTTCTAGAATAACGACGGATATATTGTTCCATTTTCATAGTTTTCGATTGTATTTCCTCCTAAAACAAAACATCGATACATGTTGAATATGAAAGTATAAATAAATAAATGTGTACTGTACATAAAGTAAAGGCCTTAAATTATGTTTCATACATTATGATCCATACTTTATCAGAATCTTCCGATGATGAGGAATTTTGGTCCGTTGGTTCCCAAGACGAACCGCTCGGCGAATAATCCTTCTCAACCTCATCTTTGGGCGCACTCTTCACTGGCACTGAACCGCTCTCATTATTAGACTGCCTATTCTGATCCGAAATATTATGTTGCTGATCTGTAATATCACATTTAAAATTTTTCCCGCGCTTCTTCATATAACAAAAAAAAACGATCAGTCCATTCATATAAGACCTTATTGGAGTACGCTGATATGGAATTTAAATTAAATAGCACGTTAAGTTCACGTGGACTTACATTCTGTTACAGTGATTTTGTTTTCTTCCTGGTTAGGTGTCTCAACTACCTTCATATCTTCACTCACTTTGATAACTTCTTGCATTCGTCGACTAGTACTCCAATCCGCTAGCAGCCATTTCTCAATTTTCATTTTAGAACTCATTGAAACAACACCGATCACAATCACTCACTGTATGTTACTAAAGTAAGCCGTGCATTACTCGGGTCTCAGGTAAAAGTTCCATTGCACCCTTACTGCAGTCATTATTACAGCCCCCGCCCATCCCTTCCGGAACAATACGGATTCGCTAACCGCCTGGGCGCCGACAAAAAATTAGACCTTTTTGCAAACCGTTTCTAAGTATAAGATTTACTTTGTGAATAGAATAGAGAATGCTCATTGTGTTTCCCTATCATAAAACTAGTCAAACAGAACTTCCATGACGAAATAAAATTCTAAATAAGAATTTGCTGACAGTCAAGTAATTTGGCTGTTTAAAAATTCATATCAGAATTAGTCAGTACAAATAACCCAAGAAAATTAAGGGTTTATAAGTTTAAACAGACCTGTACACTTTCATCGATTATAATTTATAATTGCTTTTATAAGCAAAAAAATAATAAAGATAATATATTATACAAACGAAAGAAGTATTTTCTTTATCATCTTACAATTACACCTTAAACTTGAAAAACATTTGTTACTTGTTTGTTAGTTTTAATCCAACTATATAAAATTGATATTTTCGAATCTACTACGCGTTTTTTATTATTTCCAAATACATATGTAGTAGCTACCTAGGTTTCGGTTTCTTTGCAGCAACCGTGATCTCGGGTCGACAAGATGAGAATGTCTGCAAAGTAATCGAAACTTCGGGAGTATGTAATTTAAAGTAATAATAATCGCATAGTGAATCCGAAAATATTAGTTTAATTTAAATAAATACTAGCGAAACTTCTAGATTTCATTTTCAATCCACATTGAGTTAGGTATAAAACAAAAATAATTTGATCCATTCATTTATAACATTTATTTATTTATCTCATTTTACCGGTAAAATTAACTTTAAAATACTTAAATTATATCAATTACGAATGTATCATAACTGATTTTAAATATGTACTTTAAGAAAACTATAAAATTTATGTGGGGGATATTAAATAATTTGCCTCTCAGCTGTGGTGAGTTATCGTCTGTATGCACATTTTAATTAAACAGAGCTTTTCAAATACCCATCTGTCGGTGATCATGGTTTATGTAAAGGGTAAAGAAATCGAAACGTCGAAAGTACCTATGTAAGTAGAAAATAATTAAAATCGCGTATCAAATCCTAAGTGATTTGTTTCATTTAAATGAGTACACTAGAAATCTTAGATATTATTATTGTGAACATAAATGAAATTATAGAATCGTTTATCTTATTTTAATAAATCTAAATAAAGGTAAAAAAAATCTGTTTGACTATAGTTTCATGACCCGTTTTTTTTTAAGTATAAATATTATTTAAACTAACATCTTGTTTAATTTAATTACAAATCATTTTATTCTGAGTTTGTGCTATGGCGAAGGTAAATGTAATTAAAATAAATAAACTGCGTCATTTTATCATTAAAGTAAAATTAGCAAATAAATAGTCATTAACTCATTACTCATTGGCATTAGTCCCATTATTATCTCGACCGTTTTTGTTTTAGTAAGGTATTTGGATACAGTGTATTAACTACTACTAAAATAATTCGACGAAAAACTTTCTAAAGTAAGATTAGTGTAAATTCAAAAGAAACATCAAATTAAAATCCTTAAGCTCATATTGTTCCCTTCCTAGAATAGAATTTGTAAAATCATTACGTTAAAAAAATTGATATCCTTTATTATTTTATCTATATTCTATACAATTTCGCATTACAAGGCGATTTGGAGAAAACGTCCACCTGGTGATCGTTCGACATTCATTAATGTATTATTACTTATAGTCTTAGTCTTCGCTAACGATCTCGTATTACTGTCAGTATTGCGTAACCCGAAACACTGTCATGGATTGAGGACAAAACCAAATAAATGTCACTGTCTGTGTCTTGGTAGGCGGAATACAATACCTCATACGATCCGGGACTATCGTTAGGAGGTCAATGCGTTTCTACGGTTACGGAAAATATACCATTTAAATTTCTTGGTTGTAAGATTGATAATATAGGTCGTACTCCATCTTTAGAAGGAATAGTAGATAGCTTTTTAAACGATCTCAACAAGATAGATAGCCAACAGATCAGTAACGTCAAAAAATCTTGGATCTATGATAATTAACTAACTTCACGTTTAAATTAACCTTTCTTCGTCTATGATTTTAGATAGCTTGGACAGTGGAGATAAACGTTTAACGCGTGTTAGATAGGTCATAGGGACCCCTTAAACCAACACTTCAGTGGAAAGACCCAGGCACTGTTGAAGCTCCTCTCCCTGCAACACCATGGACCTGGCATCCGCACGGTGAATCCATTGTGCTAAGAGGTTTCGTCTCATCTGAATGGACTTCAGGTGTGACTTTTTTCTCATTAAGTAAAATATTTTTGCAATTTTTTTATTTTTATATTATTGAATGACAATTTTTAGTAATGTCGTTCCTTTCCCTCTTCACTTACCTCTCACTAATGTATATTTATATAAGATGAAGATGATATGTATATAGTGATCGCAATAAAAAAAATGATAACACATAGATGAGAAAATATATTTATAAGTCTTTATATTAGTAGGATTTCAGAATACCTATTGGCTAATTGTGAGTACCATTTATACGAGAACCAATTCTGTACATTGGTAATACTTTTTCGCTGCATATTTTATGTGATTTATTGGAATAAGTGTTTATATAAAATAAAATAAATATCATAAATATCATATTGTCAAGTTCACGAGAATTTTATAGCTAAGTTTTAATAAAGAAATAAAACTTACCAAGTTAACATCTATGTTGCTTAAAACGGAATGAATCCGCTTCTGTCACTGTTTTCTGTCAGTTGTCATGTGCAAATTCGACTATTTTAGGTTATTAGAGTTAAAATCAAAATAAACACAGTGTGAATGGGATCATAGCATAAATATATAAATAAACATGGAAGCACAGAAATTAAAACAAAATAAAATGATAGGCCGAAAAGGGAAAATAAAAAAAACTATAAAGAATGTTCTATGCCGGCCTGACCCTGTAAAGTGGTAAATATAAACTATATATTAAAATAAATATATAATATAGCAAATCAACGTAATAACAAATAAAAATTAATAAATTTGTTTTATAGGCCTTTAATAAACGATGCTGAAAGAAATTCTCTAAAATCAGTTTTGGAGTTGTATAAAATTCATGTTCCACAGTTTAAAAAACCACACTGGAATGAAATTAAGTTGATGCCCAAAGGCGATCGGCCAAAACCTTCGCCACTTCAGTAAGTTAATTTATATAAGTTACTTTTTTATTCTTTTAGTAGAGTTGAAATGGATATCCAATAACCAGCACAATTTTCCCTGTGGTATCAGGTTGAATTCTAGACACAATTTTTTTATCTATTAAACATAACTTAAATAAATATGCCACAATAAATAAAGATCATTTTGTTTCAACATTTGTCCTAAAAGTTGTTTTATTAATTTGTAGTTGATTTCACAAGTGGCAATTGCTATTAATGAGTATCAAATTTTTCACATTTGGTGGTAACTGGTAAGTGGTTTTACTTGGCTTCATGTATTACTCAAGCTCTTAATGACTGCCTTGACAAATGTGGCAACCACATTTTATTTTTTAATTCATCTGGTTTTAAATTGTCTGAAAACATAAATATTGTTACTGTGTTCAGTGTTAGATTAATTAAATGAAAAATCAATTTCATTAGTGATTGGTTTTCGATCAAAGTATTTTATTTTCCGTGGTAGCACTATCCGTTCATCCATAAATCTCAATCTTTTAATTAAAATTGTGTTAAATATTTTAATATAAAATATTTTTATACAAATTAACAGAATGTATTGATTATAATGTAAAATTTTCTTTTCAGGAGAGTAAAAGGATTATTATTCGGTATATCAGAATGTAAAAATGCCATTACAGATGGTCAGTGTTGTTCAGTACTTATAGAAGCAAATGTGAACCCAAGGACCATAGTTCAACCGATTATTGAAAAATGTTATTCTTTAAATATACCCATACTATGTGTAGAAAATTTAAGACAAATGAGTAAGATTTATTTTGGCATAAAAACCAGCTGTCTATGTGTTACAAATGATTGTTCGACAGATTTAAGTATTGAAATAAAAGAAATATTTCAAAATTACAAACCAAGTAAACATATTAAGTTTGATAAAATTATTGATGATACTGAAAATAATGAAAAATCTCGCCAGATTAATGGTGACAAGAAAATTATTGAAACTAATATTGTGGAACCTTATTTGTTTAGAACTGATAAGAAAACTAGAGTTTTCAACCCATCTGGTCCTAAGGAAAAAACAAATGATACAAATAAATTCAGCGGCCAGCAATACATTAAAGTGTCGGATGAAAAAATGGAGGTGGATGTATCAAACGCAACAGAAAGAACGGCTTATATGAGAATGATATTAAAAAGGATTTCTAATAATCCAAATAGAGTTAAAAGTAAGCAATGATTTTATGAACTTTTATATGTTTTATATGATTTATACTGTAAGCAAATATAGAATTATAAAGCCAAGTATTTTTTTTTAATCTCCACAGATATCTATTTCAGGTAGCTAATCAAATTATGAAATATTTATAAAACAAACCAATTGTCTTGGATACACTTCAATTATTGTTTTTTATTTTCTAATTTCAACTGTACTTTTGTTTTTAGTTTAATTTTTTTATCATTAAACCCTAAAATTATAGAATTATTATTATGTTATGCAGAGAAAAAATATGTGTAATATATTTATATTATGTCGTGTATATAAAATGCACCTTTTCAATAAGATTTTCTTTAGCTATTGCTATATAATGTTGACTGGAAAACAAACTTAAATGGTTGGTTGTTAGTTTCCCACAATTGATTTATAACAGTTACAGTAAAAACATCTATGTAGCAGTTAATATTAAAAACACTTTCTGAAGTACAATTCAATGGTTTTCACCAAACAGATTTGAAATAAAACATATTTTTATATTGAGATTTATTTTTACTCTTAATTTACTTAGAAATGTCTATATTGACACAAACAATCTAATAATTTTATCATATTATAACAGTACTCAATAAATATAATCTTAAATTGTTAGTAATATAACTATATTCTAGTCTAGATTAAAAATATGAGTACTGTAATCAAACTTCACCAAGTACAAATTGAATGTGTAATGATGAAATTTGTGTATAATAATATGATTTGGTATACTCCATATAAATATATTTTTATATAAAGTATAGCCCAATCGAGCAGATAAATTTTATCTTACATTTGATGCATTGCATTTAGTTTTGTTTTTGTTTAAACAGTTCAATTTAATAAAATCAAACAACATGTATTTTCTTTACCTTACTTAAATCTTATAACCTGTTCTTATAGAGCACCTCGTTTTAGTTCTACACATATGTGATGTGTTTGTCATAATTATCAGCGAACAGTTTGTAAATGCTGAATAAATTGCTCATTTAATTTATAACTTATTAACTAAATAATAAACTATCAGATACTCAACTTTTATTGGTACATAGTACCAAATTTATTCATCACAAATATTATATTTTTTATTTCAATATACAGTTATATTTATAGACTAATTAAATGTTAAATGTGCAGCATAATAATATATGTGGTGTTTATAGTTTTTGCTACATAAATTTATAATTGTTTTGTCAAAATAGAAAAAATCATTTTAATTTTTTTCTTTGTTACACTAAGAGCAAGTGTTGAAATCAATATTTGATTGTGTTGTTGTAACAATTGTATTTTGCACATTTTACAGATGGTAAACTTATTTCATAGCGACATATGCTTCTCAGAAGTATGTGTCAAATATATATGAGTTCTCATCAAAGGTCGCTTTGATTTTCCCAAGAATAAACAATCTAAAACAAAACCAATCAATAAATATAGAAGATGACGTATACAAAATTATAATCTACGAATATATCGCAATTATTTTTATATAGTTTTAATCAAATGCCTTTCCATCTAATTACGATAAAAAGACAATGACCGAATGATTAAGCTTGATTTTTAATTTATTATTCGAATATAATACTCGATTTCCAAAAGAAATTGAGTTCAATTCTATAATAACTAGCTATAAAGTATATGCGAATCTAAATATTTACAATCTACTCTCATACGTCAGTGAGTAGGTCGTGGTGGTAGCGATTCGCTCGGACGGTATCGATCTAAAATGATGGCGCACATCTTCTTAGCGTCTGTTTCATCTGGATATGAGGCCATTGCTTCAGCGACTTGAGCTTCTGGGAACACACCTGCCAAATGGAAATGCATTCTACGTCGCGCCTCCCAATTCTGTAAGGCGCCCTCGGACGCACACGGAGACAGGGAAATGTTGTTGTATGTAGGCACTGCCCCGGCCGCGCCTACAGGGGCGGAAGATACTCTAGCCGCTGTAGCGTGGAGTCGCGGGTCACACGCCGGATTGAGTGTCAGCTGTCTGGCGAGTTTGCGGTGCGGGTTATGCTCTGCCTGCGAGGGTCCTGGTATTTGGGCTCGGTCGAAATTCGATATCAGCGAAGCGTCAGCCAATCGCGGTGTGGCCGAATGGGCTCTGGCTAAAGGTCGTTTACTGTCCGTTGGCCGACCTCCTGGTGGAAGACTGAGAGTATGCAAATCTTTCGCCTTCCTAGCGGCACGTTCGGATAATTTCTCCGCTACGGATTTATGAGGTCGTCCGGCTCGTTCGGGATGATGGAATTTGCATTTGTTGCCGTACGTGCATTTCCTACCGTACGGACAGGCAGGTGGTGGGCCGTACGGACCATATGAACGTACGTCGTTTCGCGACGGAGGTGCTCGGAGGAAGGTTTCCAAAGTAGGTCCTGATCTTCCGAGAGGATCGTCCGGTGGCATGAATCTGTCGTTGACGAAGGAGAACATGAGCAGTCGTTCTTCCACAACTTTTCTGAATTCAGGGCTCTCGGCCGCTAGATCTCTGTAATTATCGTTCGACACGACGATGCCGTCCGTTTCAGCCGCTAGTCGCAGTATGTATCTATCGTCGTAGCAGATGAGACGTTTCCCTCCCAACAGTCTACTGGGCGTGTACACCAGCACTCTGTTCCGTTCTAATCTATCGAGAGCGTCTCTATCAGCGACCGGGTTGTCCGGTCTCGAAGCTTCTTTCCTCCATTTCGGTACAAACACTGTTATATCCTTGTGACCCCTCGCTCTGAACCAGTCCACGCAGATCTCGATGCCGCGGCACGAGAACACTTCCTTGTTGCCATGGCTGTGAAACGAGTTGAATGAATATTATTTATGACGAATATTTTTGCATAAATTAATAATACGAATAAAAAAATTATTCTGTCATATAAATGGATTATTATTATTAAATATTGAATGAAAAGTATTCTTATGGAATCATATATAACGAGAAGACCCGGCGAACTTCGTATCGCTCTATAATCGAGAAATATCTGTTACGTTTTTTATTTATATTTTTGGAGTTTACCTATTAAAGCCATAAATCTCCATGTTTTGAAGTGCGACAGAATGATTGATATATTAGTTAGTTGTCAAATCTAATGTTAAAAAAAACGTTTGTATCAACAACTACTAATAAATTAAAAATTAATTAAAAAAACATTGTCCAGCGGACAAAATTGTGAATCTAAACCGTTCCCAGATCCCCTTGAATACACAAAAAAATTCCATCAAAATCGGTCCAGTCGTTTGAGAGAAGTTCAGTGACATACACACTCACAGAAGAATTATATATATAAAGATTTAATAGTGTACCTCATGGCAACATTGCTTCCATCAATAACGATGTGTCTAAGAGGTCTGTCGGGGAGGTCATCCGTGGCTGGTGGAGGGGAGGCTGTCGGTGGTGGGGGGGAGGAGGTCCCCGGAGGTCTCTTAGCAGCCAGCTTGATGAGCTCCGCCAACAGTTCGTTCCTAGGCGGATCTGAACCGAGCCGTTGCAGCGCGGTACGAGCCAACCGCTCCGAGTAACCCAGTTTCACGGCAAACTCGATTTTCGCCTGTACGAAATTTATTATGTAACGCACTTTGCAATAATATGAACACTGTAAATGTATAATTTTAACAACATACGCTCATTGGACGTTACCTCGGATCATACGATTCACTGTCATAAATTATATAATCTATAGTAATAAGAGGCGTGACATAATCGATAATTTACAGCTATTTAAAGAATTTATTGCCGGTATTAAGATAGGATATTTATCATAGCTATGGCATTCCTAAAGTAAATCTTTGTAACTTCCTGTATTGGTACCAATCTCTGCCTAATGAGGTATTGTTTACCTGATTGGGTTGTGGTTGCGCAAGTGTGACGTACTCCGCAAACTCAGCTGCCAGTGTGTCTGAAGGTGTGCGGGATGCAGTCCGATGACTGGCATCATCATCACACTCGGAGTCATAGCTCGAATCTTCACCACGTTCACCCGTCCAACCCAATGATGACTCCACATATTTCTAACAAGGAAAAACATACTATCAACTCTCCTTTATTACTTCATAGATACGTAAGTTTTAATAGAATTATATTCAGCTCAAATTATCGTACAAAAGCAAACATAACAACTGACATGTTAAGATGTAGTACAAATACATATAATCAACGTGATGGTTGCTTTAAGCGGCGCCACAACAGGTCATGAGGGCGTCGAGGCGGATCTACGGATGATCATTGACCTTTAAAGTGTGCGCAAATCCTCAATATACCGGTTATAATTAATTATAACGATCGTAACAAAACATACATACATTGAACCGAAACTATAATATAATATACCACCTATATATGTATATTTGGTTTAGTTTTCCGATGCTTGAAAACCAGTTATGTTTAAACTGAAACGAAACTTTTGCCTCATGATTGCATGGCAACATCCGCGTTGGGTCTCATTTCAAACCAGGACACGAGATCTGATTTCTGATTTTAGATTTAGTACTTTTGCTAACTTTGGTATTATTGTAACCAAATAACTTTTCCTCTATATAGTGTTAAATTCCTTCAATAAATATTCTAGATATTAGGTAGGCAGACCGGTGCAATTCATACTAAACAAATTGCACCTAATGTTGCTTGCATATAAATTAAGCTTAGAAATTATAATACTTAGATATTAATTTACATTTCAGTATATTTTAATTATTTCCTAACGCTGTATTATACAAAATATGTTAATTTTATAACGCCAAAGACATATTTTATTATTAAATATTATTTATTTTATTCTTGTTTTCTCACTCATATATTTTTTAAAAAATTATAAAGATATGTATTTTATTGCACATTTATTAACACCTCTGGTCTGTCGGTTTCAACGTCTTATTATATATAAATACTTAAAATTATTCTTAAGTATTTGAAACATAAAATATTATAAAACCGACATCAAAACGGACCCAGAACACAACGCCTAGCGCGAACCGGATGCGACTTTCTAAAAAATATAGCGCGCGATATCACTACTACTTAAGAAACCGATAGTTTATCGGTTTAACAATAGATAACTCACCGGTTATTTGTAAATTAGACACAGCTGATTTGTAATTGGAAAAAAAATTAGTAAGAAAATTATAAGATTAATTAAAATTGCTGTGGCCTTTTATTCTGTTGATAAAAAGAAGCGGTACTAATACTGATAATATTAGTAATGGTAATCATTGCACATCAAAATTATAATAAAAATCATAATATAATTACTTGAATTAATTTCAAAATTTACTTTTGTTTTTGTCATGTCAAATATTTTATACATACATAGAACAAATTAAATAGTCAAAGAGATCTGTGTCCAATAAATCTTTTTCCAACGAGGAAACGTAAATAGCAATGGCAAAAAACCCATTCACCCTAGCGTACGACTATTGACAATGGCAGATTTGCCATATAGACAATGACAGCTGACATTTCCCGCGCTCTAATGGAGGCAAAATGAAAATAGAATATGTATAAAAAAACCACCGGATTCTCCCGCTCTAACAGCTTTGTTTACATTTTTTTTTATCCTGTTCGAAACTCGTACGTCATAAACGGGAGCAGTTCACTAATGAACGAGATCTCGGAAATAACAAGGTCGGTTGTATAATACATTAAAATTAACCGTTACAGTGAAACGCTTACGACTTACGAGTTACGGCAGACATTGTTATAAAATGCATTATTGAACACCACAGAATAAATATTACTAGTTGTATAATTATTGAAGACCTTGACGAGACCTAAAAAATATAGAGCAAACAACCAAAAGCCTTGATTTCTTCGCGACCCAGTTTTTATTCGCGAGGCCGCAACACGTTTAGGCTACATGGCGTAACACCGTATGTAAACAAAAAGAGACGACACATTATTTATGGACAAACAGAGACGTAACAAACTTAATTATGTTTGAGTTAGTAATATTATTTAAAGATGAAAATATATGAAAATTAATTCGTATACTTAAAACTGTATAACAACTTTAGAAATTAGTATGAATTGGACTTTGAAGAAATCGAGAAAAAACAAAATTTTTAAATGAAATAACATTTATGAAGGAACAATATAAAATCTTTTTTATAATAAAGATTTAAGAAAGATTTATCGCTCAATGCCTATGCTTCACATCGGAAGCAATTGATCACCGTAATTAAAAAAAATTAAAAGCATCACGATACTAAGAAATTCATAAAAGTCACATGGCAAAAACACGTCTATTTCGCATTAATAATGCGCAGTTAAAACAAGTTATAAACGATGGGTTATCATAAAATCTATATCCTGGATGCAGACTTTCAAACATGATTCAGCAGAAGATTTAATTGTGTAAATTACTTAACCGAAAAACAAAAACCCTAAACTTAATAGTAATTAATCCTTTTAATGGCATATATGTATTGTTAGCAAGGAGTTTTATTACATTTTGAATGTAACTCTTTTGAATACTTTTTTTAAACATCGCGTAGTAACTCAGAATTAAAAAAAATCAAATCCGGTTCAACAGGCGTAGTGGCGGGAAGAAGCTAATTTATATTATGTTATCATGTAATTATAGGTTATAATGTCCCATTGACACAGATGTTTACAAGCGTAGGTAACCAAATATAAGAGAGGTTATCACTCATACGTCACTATTGACGAAGATCTATAATTTATGTACCATATTTGTCTATTGTAGATAAATATTACTATGTTTATATGTATTGTAATTTATAATACGCATCCTTCAGCCTCGCCCGCGGACCCGGATGTTATAGTTAAATCAGAACGTGTGTACGTTAATTCAGAAACGTTTTTCGTAGTTTTGAAGTAGTTTTTAAGTGAATAACATTAACTTATTCTTGTCAATGTGGGTGTGTCTTTTTCTTACGTAAATGTTTTTATTTGTAGCCATGTTAAATAGCACTAATAGAATATTTAGTAGAAAAAACTATACCAAAACAAGATATCGAATTCAATACACATACATGAATGTATCACTAAGGAGTTATTGCAAGATAACTGGTTATATTCAAACAGAGAATGACCATGACTAACCATTTCTGATCATCAACCCTTATTTTCGTAATGTACAATCAAGTACAAACAACCGATTACATATCGGATACAATTAGTTCCTTTTACTAGAGAAATTCTATCGCACGATTGACCGTATAGATAACAGCGGCCAATGATGATGGAGTATTCGGGCTACGTCGGCTCGTGCGATGTTTCGTCACCGGCGAACAGGATGCTAGAACTCTGAACGGCACACTTACACACAATGCACTTACACACGCACACAGAAACGAAACCGCAACGATCTTTTGTTTTGATATCATTATTCATTGAATTCCCATCGGGGCTACGTCAATTACTTATATTGTGGACATTTAAAAATACAGTGTTGCCAACATCACACGTTAAAACTGAATATTAATGTCATTAATGATTTATGTACCAACCGCAGGAATCTAATCGATTATTGAATACATTATTCCATAGCATTTCTTGTATATATACGATGTGTTAATCTAGATTATTAATATAATATATATTTGAAAAAGAGCGTTGTATAGCAACAACAAATCTCGTATTAATATTGAGTATTGACAATCGAGACATTTAAAAACATATTTTAATAATCGTCATATGTTAAAAGCGAAGCTGTCTGAGGGCCACCAGCTTATGAATAATGTATAGAAATGAAGGATGACGTCATTTCTATTGGGTGGCCTTCTCTATCCATGCTAATACTGAAAATAAATACATACATATATCGGTATTTCAATTGTTATTACTTTCAAGACACGTTGCAAAGGATAATTATGTGTTGCGTTACATAACATTAAGAGCAATTATAAAAATATAGTTGTAATTGATTAAATTGTATATTCTTTAAATAATTTATGTTCTATCTACGTCATTACCACTATTATATACAATTAAAATGTGACAAAAAGTATATCAATTCTGTTAACTATAAATATTAATAAACTCAGTTTTACGATCACTATAAAAAATTTGGAATAATAAAGGAAAAATTATCACATTTTTTTCACAAAAAAATAAAGAATTCCAAACTGTTACGGTACTTACATCACAAGTAAAAATCGTCCCGGATATAAACAAAACGTGGGCTTCGTGAGAACCGCACTTCTATTATAACCTTTAATATGTGCGTAATGATTTAAATAAATTGTTATTAACATAGATTTAATAATAAAACTAGTACAAAAATTGTGAAATCTAGAAATCTAGACATGATAAATTGAACCGTAAACCTTTTAAGCATTCAGAAGCTCGTTTACAACTGGATAGTGGGTGAAATTGGCGTATTTAGGTTATTTAGGCACCTGTGCTTATCCGCATTGCCAACTTTCTAGATTACAGAAACTTTAAGTTTGCCACGATTTTCTATATCCTGTTGAAATATCAACTATCATTTGGAAACTTTGTATAAACGAGCAATATTTTATTACTCAATACATTACCTATACAGGGTGACTGGTGAATTACTATCAATATTTAAGGAGCATACTCGGTACATGATTCTCATTCGAATTATGTAAAAAAAATAGGTACTTAATTTTTGACCAAATTTCCGTATAAATAAATAAAGTGTGTACACGTTCCAAGTGTTCCAAGTGTGAACGCGCGCGGCGACGTGCTGATACAACACCACGCCCCCGCCGCGTATGTGTGAGTGTGTGTGTATACCTAATCTGTAGGGTGCTCACACGATGCGTAATTAATTACACAACTTTTGGTTAACTTTACTTAGAAGTTTATTAATATTTATGTTACATTAATTTTTATTTTATCATATATGATCGTCAAATATCACGTCCTCACATATTGATAGTAATTCACCAGTCACCCTGTATATATTTTAGCGGGAAAAAGTAACATTATAAAAATTGACATTTCAATATGAATATACCACAGAGTAAAAACTATGTTAATCCGTTAGAATATCCGTGATCGGATATCGTGGATAACTTGTGAATACAAAATCACAGCCGTACGGTCAAGTGAAAGTCTTATAATCTAAGACTCTCGTAAGTCGTAAGTAACCAGGCGCGCATCTAGATAAGATTTACTTTTACTATTATAAATTTTAATTGTTTTATTAACCTCTGTTACTTCAGAATAAACATATTGACATTTCGAGGTTATATTTTATGCGAATTCGTAACTCATTCAGGAAGAATTCTATGATAATTTAATTAATTATAATTTCCTGAATATATGAATGAACTAAAATTAAGCGAATAGATCACTAGGCTTGTTTTGTATAAATAAAAAATATATATACAAAATCGTTTAATTATGTGAGTTAAGTCATAATAATTATTATAATTATAATATTGTATAAAGTTCTAATTAAACGAAACAACAGAATCTTACAGTGACAATAAGTTTCATTGCTCGTTATATTTATATTGTTTACCTTGCTTATAAAATCAAAATCTATTTTTATACTATCCTTGAATATTTATTTTCATAATGTCTTAGTACGTAAATGTGAATTAAACTTCGTTTATACGCTTTTATATTGAATGAGAACCATCTTGATATTATTTTCAGTACATTATGCATACGTATAAATCTAATCATTACGTTTAATCTATTCTCAAACAAAGTCGATGTATTAATTAGCATACCTATATGACGTTAACGAACCGGCTTTACTTCCGTGAACATCGTTTAGTTTGCAATGCGTTATAACGCGTTATAACAGACGGATCCGTGACGACGATTTACTTTATTAATGGGATAAGCTGACGCTCACCTGGGAGTTGTCGATCGCGTACATAATAATGTTAAAACGGCGCGTATATCATGACGTTGTTAGCGCGTCGTGTCGTGGCAATACTAGCTAGCGACTATCGTTGTCACACGAGCCCTGGTGAAGGGGAAGCGGGGCAGATCCGGGTTGCGCGCCCACTGCAGCCGACGGCCCCCAAACACAACAACACACTCTTGACGGTTGACCTCTGTCACTCAAACGCTATATGACGGTAGCGCATCACACGAAAACCGAATATATTCAATAAATCATTTTAATTGTAGCCATAATCACTGATAATAATTACTGATTTCTTTCAATACTCACTACATTAGCCTAATTACGCGAACAACTTCAAAAAGCATGGAATTATTATTGTAGTATGTGTAAAATATTTACCAAATGAATATCGTCCGAATATTAAGAAATTTGGTGCAGTATTTTAATTTGTGGAAAATATTTAATTATAAACGATTATTAAAAATGAGGAAGTAGTTTTTCGCTTTGAATTAACGATAATAAGGCGTTGAAACGAGAAATTACCTTAAAAGTGAATATGCTATGTATAAAACATTGTCTTAAGATGACAATTTATGTAAATTAAATTTATTTAATTACTTCAATTTGTCTTATAGCATTATTATTTTAATTATTAATAATAAAATACTTAAAATAACATTGTTAAGAAAAGAATTTATTACAACAAATAACAATAAGTTCATTATTTAAAGACAATTATATATAACATTATTTTTTAAATATTTTATTTTAATAAAATATGTATGTATTTATATTTAATTTCAAATACTCCAATTTTTTTACAAATTTATTGATGCTGGTATTAAATTAGATTTGTTTCTGATCAAACTACCTTTTTTACTATTAACCCATTTGGCGCCTCTGTACCCGATTGTGTACACCTAATCAATTGAAGGTAGATAATCACTTTACTAACCTGTATTTGTTTTTTTCGTCTCATAATTAAAAATGATAGTATTAGCATCAAAAAAATTACAATTTATGTGGGTATATTCATAAAATCTGTCACAGTAAGGCTACGAACCTCGCGATGTGATCGTTTATCGAGGTAAGTTCGCTGATACATTATTTTTTTTATATTACATAACCTAAATTTCAGATATATTTATGTTTCTTGTAGTCAACATCCTTATTCGTAAAATCAATAATAAAAGAGTATCTTACAACAAGTATTTACAAAGAAATCGTACTTGAAATACAACTGTACTCGATTGCGTACAGCGGCCGAATCCATATAACGATTGCGCTTATTGTTCTAGTATTTCGTTACCATGAGTTCGAAATATTCTAGCGTTTCTAACTGTTACAAAGGATCAGAGTCAATGCTGTTTTGGATGAGAGTGACAGTGAAGGGGATTACGACTGTTAGACAGCCAGATCTCAGCATCCTTACAAATGAAGAGGAAGGTTTTGACGAAGACATGGTTACCGCATCTTTGCCGCGGGATGTGCCTGGCAATATTGAGTTTCTTAGAGCTAACGAGGACAACATTTTAAGTGACGATAATAGGAGGAATCATTGGCTGAAAAAGAAATGAAAAGGCGAAAGCAGCTATGTCAGCCTGTATGGCGTAAATGTTCCCTTCCATAATCTTCGACGACTGAAGAAAGAACTGATATGCTAGAAAGACAGGAGGCAGTAAAAGAACAACTCGGAGAACTTAGTCCCGTACAGATATTTGAATAAATGTTTGATGAAGAAGTTAATTACGAATACAATTGAATATGCTAATCAAAATAGCAGACATACTTTTCAACTGGACTCCAATGATTTGAATAGGTTCATAGGTATATTGATACTTTTTGGTTATCATAAAGTATCCAGGGAAGATTTGTTGGTTTATGTCAAAATAGCTAAACATATACCTACTAAAAATATGGGGGGAGTCGACGAATTATACCAATCGATTGCACTGTATAAGATTGCTGTTCACGAAAAAAGTGGCGGTAGGTTCATTCAACATTACAAGGTTTAGCTCAAAATAGTGTAGAGCACTATTCGAAAAGGTTACAAAATCATTGCGATGTGTTGTTTGTCAAACAAGAGTTCGTTGGCAATGCATAAAGTGTGTAAAAACATTATGTTTTGAAAACCAACGTTTTGAAAAATTTCACCTATAATAAGCCGCTGTACTCAATTGTGTACACCCTTCTCCTGAAAAGCCTGATTTTCTTTTTCAAAATATTATTTTATTTTATGTTTATTTGACCCATAGGCAACATGAAAATAAATGTTTTGTAAAAATACTACTGCTGTTTTAATTTTGGCGGTTAATGGGTTAAGTTAACCTTAGTTGATTTTGGGCTCAATGAAATTTCTTTATAAAAAAAAATGTTGATATAAATCTATATGTCTCCTACCTACCATATATAGAAAAATTAAACACAACTGTTTCTACTCCGATATTGTTAAAAAAAAAATCTAATCAGATTTCGTAGATAATAAATGAGAATAAAAATTCTGCTTAAATAATAAACATATATGATCAATGAAATATATTTTAAATTTCTAAAAACTGGATACACTTTGGTTTTGAATAATATTGTTTAATATCATTCTGTGGCCTTATTAAACAAAAATGTTTCACATTTCGAATAACTACAAATCTATCTAAAATATATTTATTCTTAGACTTACCTGAATTCTATCCACAAGTTCCCTTGGTATTAAATTGCTCTCAACTGGATTTAAATTAAAAGTTACTTTGAAATACACATATTCCGACTGCTCACTCGCGACATCGGATTTCTTTTCAGAAAGCGTAACATAGTAAAAAGTTTCCACCAAATGGAGATATTTACTATAAAATTCGGTTAAGCACGACCGAGGCACCGATATACACAAGTCTGTTTCGTTTGACATTATATTGATATTCCCGCGTACTAAATTCTACACTACCGCAATTTAATTGCATAATTCATATCAAAACATTAAGCAACACAATTTTTATACAACACAGTTCACCGATTTCATTGAGATTAAAACATTTCTCCAACTTTTGACGTTTCACTGTCTCGACTTGACACATGACTGACTAGACGTAGTTGACGATCTGACGTTGACGTTTAGAAATGGTGAACAGTATAAGTAATTAAATAATCTGGACATTATTTAAAAACAATTTTTTATGTTTAGAATTTTGAATAGATATTATTTTTAATATAATTTTATTAATAAAATAGCTAAGGATTCGAACGTAACCATTACATTCGTGTAGACCTAGTTAAGTAAGAACTACGGTAAAAAAAAATTGGAGTTGATATAATGTGTCAAATTATATACTTAATAGTTAAGGGAAACGTTTGCACACACCATTTAATAAAACGAGCTAAAAAGCAAGCCGGTGGAATTAAGGGTTATTAATTGAATATTACTTTAAACATAATTTTAGTAAATAATTTGACGATTCAAATTACTTCTCAATAAAAAAAATATTTAATACCAATGATTTGTTAAAAAATATTTCAACGATATAAGATAACGGATCTTCTTATTTTTTTTTAACACTTAACCATTTTATTCATGAATACGTCGTTTAGTATGGATTACTGTAGAATAATTTTGTAGTTTATATAATATAAAGTCAGTGGTTAAAGGCCCGCCTCTCATGCAGTTCGTTATGTTCGTTAGTTTCACTAAAACCCGAGAACGGCTGAATGGTTTTATATTATCTTAGTCTAATGTTTTTGGAGGTTCACGGAAGGTTTAAAAGCTGAAAAAATTTGATTCATTTCCGGGAAAACCCTGAAAACAGCCCTTTTCTATTTTCCATACAAACGCTTTTTTAGACATTAGATTTGACAACTAACTAATATGTCAATAATTTTGTCGCACTTCAGAACACGGAGATTTATGGCTTAAAGATACACTCTAAAACTATAAATAAAAAACCCAGAACAAAGAAAAAAGTATTACGATTGACGATATCGTGTTACGTTTTTCTATATGCACTCATAGATATTCGACGATAATCTAAATACATCAATCTATCTTTGTGAGTGACGATTACCGCTACATGCGCAAGAACTTTCTTTACTTTTGTGATCCTTTGTGATAGTGACATATGTACTTTCTAAGAGTATTTAGACATCACTGATTAATGCATTCCCAAAGAGGGTTGATGTCAGGCTGGCGGCCGGTCGTAAGACAATTAGCCAAAACTATTCACAACATGTAAGGTTGAGAATTGGTGGAGAGATAGATTAGGACAAGGAAACGGACATAGGATATTTAAGTGTTCTATTGAAACAGGAAAAATTTAATAAATACCAATACCTGGTTATTTATGGCCTCTAAGACGGAGTAGAGTGCACCCCGTCAGATATACATATATTACTAATGACGAAATTAACGCGAACGAAGTCGCGGGCCAAAACTAGTACATATATATATAAAAATAAATTGCTGTTCTTTAGTCTCACTCAAACGCGACATCGCCTAAATAGATTTGGCTAATTATAGTTTTAATTATTAGTCAAGGGAGGGTTTAAAAGGTGGATAAATATGAAAATGCTTGGTATTTCATAAAAAAACACGATTTTCCTTTCCGTCATGACGTTTAAAAATCTAATTGAAATAACAGTTTAAAATTAATAACTAATTTGAAAATTGTATTTTTTTAACAAGTTATTTATATCACTATAAGGAAAAATATAAACTTAATTTTTGCTAGCTCCTGGTGTTAGAATATAGTCATTAACTATGGTTTAGTTTTCTTTATAGGTATTGAGTAATAAATTTTAAATTTCTGGACGCAACCATTATGTTTGACATTTGACAACTATCTTTCATCGGCTAGCGTGTCAAAACTCGAGACAAAAACTTCTCAACGAAAAATTTTGCATGACGGTTTGGTTTGATTTTATACATGAATGAAACTTTTAAATTTAAAATAAATATTATATAAAAAAAATGTTATTTATAAAAATTGCCGGCATGTGTTAATCCGGAGTTATGTGATTTGCCTGGATAAATAATTGTATAATTGGGGAAATACGAGTTTTGCTACAAGGAATGCCCAAATATTATAAAGTATTTATTTATTTAAAAGAAATCAAGTACGACCGTTTATGGTCTAAAACAACATCTTTTACATAATTTATAAATTATTTAGAATCAGTTAACAATTGAGGTAATTAAACCTTAACTCTAGAATTTGTTATGACCAAGAAAACAAACTTAACATTTTGTTTAAATCTTAATGCTTATCCTTATGTCTAGAATCTGGTGCGTCCAGACGAGGCAGGCTTTTACTTAACTAGAAAAAATGATTAAAATTTTCTAATAACATATGGAAATCTTTTTATATATTATGTATATCTTATATTTTAAATAGCAATAATACCTATGTATCTATCACAATGAGATTATCCATAGAAATTTTCTTACAACCTATAGTAAACCAGTCTTGTTACTAATTGTTCTTATTTTGACCTTAACATAAATAAATGGATAAATGCCAGTGAAACTTGTCCATCAAAATCATTAGGTATCCAGGGCTGTCTTTCACCTATTTGAGGTCCTGGGCACATTAGGATAATAAGGCTTATATGGAGATGACCATAAAGAATAAAGCACAATTTTGTTAGAATAACATTAGATGTGCATAGATTAGCTTTTTTTATGTTTTCTCAGTTACATCAGATATAATGAATAGATTATATAATGTAATCCACACTAAACAATAATCATCCACAATAAGTCCTTGTTCCTATGCTGATTGAAGAGGTACCCTTCTAGTATTGAGTTGAGCAAAATGGTTAATCATATCTTTAAAATCTATGTTTTTCACATTTTTATTTAACACAATTCAAATTCTATCGACATTAGCGACAAACTATTTAATCTTTCTTGAAGCATTGTACTTTTTAATTCATTTTTTATTTGTTTTAATTTGGTGGAGTGTTCCCCACTGTAGTTATTTACCATCACACTTAAAAAGATTCTCCATGCGATTTCTACATTAGGAAAGGTGTCTTCAATTTTGTTCTCTCTCAAAAGATGATATATTTTTCAGTATACTAGTTCCTTCATTTTCACTGATCAATTTTCAGATATTCTGTTAAATGCAGATATTTAATTTCTCACTTTCTCATTTACATCTTCATAATAGATTTCAGCAAATTCTTTGCAACTTTGTCTCAATTATTTACACTTTAGAGTTTTCAAGCGAAAAAAGAAAAAAAAAAGGTTGACCAATGTCCTTAGGGGCCATCTATAAATTACGTCACACGTAAAGGGGGGGGGGGAGGGGGTCGACAAAGTGTGACATGGTGTGACAAGGGGTGGGGGGGCTCCTAAGTTTCGTGACATCACATTTCAAAATCTAGAGGTACTAATCACATAATTTGAAATACATATTAATTAAAATCTTTAAAACTGAGCGCGTCATCACATCTATATATATATTCATTAGTTTATTTTTTTTGTTATTATTTCAAATATTTGATACTATGTTGATTTTATAAAAAGTACTTAATTTTAATTGAAATAAAACTGCTGTTTTAATTTAATAATTTTTCGATGTTAAATTGCAAAACATGTGACGTCACGCTAGGGAGGGGGGGGGGTCTCAAAAATGTGACCACCTGTGACAAGGACGGGGGAGGGCTCGAAAACTCATGAAATTAGTGTGACGTATTTTATGGATGGCCCTTATACGAACTTAATAGCTATTTTAGATGAACGCCCAGGGCATCAATTATGTGGATAAAGGTTTCGATTTTGAATCTTTTCGATTTGAATGATGTCGCAGAGCCATCAAAGTCAGGCGTCAGCTTCTACGTTTTGTTTTTGGGATATGTCTTTATAGTCAGAATTCAGGTTGTTCTCTTTGGCGATCGATTCGAAGTAAAGTAATTTATCCCTAAGGCTAAGGCTAAATTTCAATTCACATAATATGTATATAATATAGAGGGAAAATAAAAAAATAAATAATTGTGCTGCTTCGTTGTTATTCCACTTATTGCACATATACATTATATATCATGTTAAATGTATTCTTTAGGTCTTATCCTTTATTAAAATAAAAAGCTCACGAGTTCATTTAAACAAGACAAATTTGTTAAAGTTTTGATACCTTAAATCTATTAATTAATATTTATTTTGAGAAAAAAACACACTTACACAAACCTTATTTCAAAGAAAAAAATTTTTTTATTGTATGCTGTATGTATATGCTGCTCTTGTATAAATAACCTTATATTAAAATTGTTTGAAAAGGGAAATAGATAATATCATATAAAATAAAATGCTAAGAAAATATAAAATTTTTGATATATATTTAGTAAGAATGAAGGGTTATTAAATAAATATTACTTTTAAAATAATTTCATTACTAAAATCAACAATCATTCAAGGTACATACTTCAAATTAGAAATTTACTTAGTAAAGATGATTTGTATTAAAAATATTTAAAATAAATAAGTAAACGAATCTATAAAAATTATCTTAAAAATTAAACACTAACTCTCCTCCTTAAAGCAGACTGAGATTATTTATTTGTTTTATCCTTTTTAGCTTCCACGTTTCATACTAACACTGGGGTTGCCAGCGGCAGAGTTATGTGACTAACACGCCGTCTTATGTGTTTACCATGCAGTGGGTCCTCATATCTGTAAACAAAAAAAAAACTTATCAATTATCAAAGACTTGAATATTTGCCAGACCTTCTCTATTGAGATGAAATGAGATGATGATGAAACAAGAACATTTACTATTTATATCGGCAACACTGAACGGACTTTCAAACAAAAACAACAGTATCATAAATTAAATATAATGAAAGTAACTGAGGTTTAACACTCTTATGTTAACTTTAAATTAATTCTTTAATGACAGTTATTAATTACCTGACTCATAA